ATCCCTCCATCTCAGGGAGCCTGGTGGCGGTGTTGAGTTGGGCTGCTAGCAGCCAGGCCAACCATCCACATCCATCAGCTGCTGGAAGAAAGATGAGGCTTTTTGCTGTCAAGATTTACAGCTTCAGAAAACCCACAGGGGCGGTTTGACTTTGTCTTACAGGGGAACTATGAAATAGAATTGAGTCAATGACAGTGAATTTTTTGTTTATTTCAGCGTTTTGACTTCACTTACAATAACTCTGTTAATCTCTAACACCTAGGTCAACCCAACATTTTTTCCCCTCTGATTTTGCTCCTGTGACACAAGGGGTGGGGTGGGGCGGTGGAAGGTGTCCACAACAAATTTATGCTTTCCCTTCATCAGTCAGTCTTGCTGATCCTTTTAAGCAGCCTTGGCTAACTCTCTAATCTATCCTGTGGTTGACAGCCTTCCAAATGCCCTTCGATGATGCCTGCATCCAAGCGTTCAGACCCAGCACAGCTGCCTCCCACAAAGAAAAGGGGCTGGTTTATGTAACCCATGGGATACTGCAGAAATGATGGGGTGTGATTTCCATGGTTAGATCAGACAGACATATGACCAGTCCTGATCTCTCTTGATCTGGGGCGGGTAGCTACTATGACTCATGAACACTCAAGCTGCCCATGGAAAGGCCCCCAAAAAGAGAAACAGCCTTCCTAGCCTTGGTTGCCAGGCCTGTGAGTGCGCACCCTGGAGGTAAATCCTCGGCCCTCACTTAGCTTCAAATGACGTCAGTCCCAGCTGAACCCTGAGTCAGAAACAATGGTTAATGCTGATCTGAATTCCTGACCCACTGAGACTATGAGATAATACATGCTTACCTTTAAGACTTTAAATCCAGGATAGTTTGTTAGGTAGCAACAGGTAATTAATTTTACATCTTTTTCAAAAAGTTCACCTTCTCAAAATATGTCCAAATCACTCTCAGATGATGAAAGTGACTGCTCACTGTGTCCTGTCGGGCACTCACGCATTCAAACATGGTCAGTAGAGAGGCCCTGAATTGTGCAGGAGATGAACTCATAAAAGCCACACAAAACTTATAATCACAGGAAACCCAACACCAAACTCACTGCCATCGAGTCAATGCCGACTCGCAGCGACCACATAGGACAAGATAAAACTGCCCCTGAGGTTTCAGAAATTGTAGCTCGTTTGGAAGTAGAAATCAGATGGTTCCGAACTGCTGACCTTCCAGATTGCAGCCCAACTAGCAATCATTAGTTCCAGAATAAATAAGCATTTAGAATTAGTAGCAACTATGCAATTCAGAATAATAAGGGAATCTAATTTGGAAGCGTCAAAAGGGGCAAACAATATTTCCTCCAGAAAGTGCTATTTACGAACAAAAGTAGACGTGTTTTACCGGCAAAGCTAAGTTTGGAAGCCTTTAGCATGGAAAAGAGACCATGCTACCAAAGGAACCAAAAGGAGGCCATTTTAGTGACTGTAGGTTGTCAAAGGGTCTTAGAAAGGTTGCAATGAACCCAACTATACTGACCCAGAGAGACCCTATGGGTTTCTGAAGCCGTAAATTTTTATAAAAATTGACATCCTTCTTTTTCTCCTGAGGACCTGCTGGTGGGTTTGAACCACTGACTTTGCAGTTAGCAGTTCAATGCTTACCTGATAGGGTCACCAACACTTTTTAGCCATGTTACAATAATGACATGTAATTCTTTCAATGAGCCCACAAAGTAGAACCCTTATTTGACAGGAGGGCAATAAAACTCAAAGGTTCAGTAACTGACCCAAAGGAATATACTACTAAGCGGTCCCACAAAACCCACACTCTGTATCTTACCACACACATTGTCTCCTTTTCCCTTCTCTCTGCTGCTCTGAAAAGGAGAGGTCATGGTTCAAGTTAATCTTCTAACTCAAAATCTCTCTAATTTTCCTTTGCTCTTTTCCACTTCCAAGTGACTTAAGAGTAGATTCCACATTCTTAAGCCCGTCAAAACCCTCTCCCTTCATCTAAGCATGCCACTTCACTTACTTCAGCTCTCCTCTAAGGGACTGTCAGCATCAACTATTCCTTCCCACATTTGATCCCTCCAGCCTCGCGGGCTCTGCACTGCAGCCCTCCTGGACTCAGAATGCTTTCCAGTGCCTTCCTTCTCCAGCACACCAGCCAACGCCCCTTTTCTACACCACAGAGTTTAAGAGCAGTTTCTCAACTTTACTTCCTCCTCTTCATTAATTCAATCCACGGCAGTTTTGCTTCCTTCTCTCGAAAAATGCTACAGCTGCCCTTTCCAAGCTCAATAACATCTCAAATCCAAGAGCCAATGAAAATTTAGCTGCACTTGCTATTGATCATTTCCACCTTGAACTTCGATTAGATCTTAAATGACAGGTGCTTCTCCCACTCTGCTTACACTATCTCAGTAAGCTTTGGTGGATCACCCCTAAATTCTCAAGTCATTGCAACCCACAAGAAAATGGGTGGCAAAAGATTATTAAGTAAATATTACAATTCTTTATGTAGGGCAGAGTTAACTGGCAGCCTATGGAAAATGCCATAGCAATCAATAAAAGCAGAATTCAGTTCCATCTTTAAACAGAAACTTTTTTTTTCTCACTGAAAAGAAATTTAACCTTGGTGCTATGGTTGGACTACTAACTGCAAGATTGCTATTTTAAACTCACCAGCTGCTCTGTGGGAGAAGGAGGAGGCTGGCTGCTACCCTAAAGATTTACATCTTAGAACCCTTTTTAGGGTTGCTAAGTTGGAATCGATTCAGTTTTTGTGATTTTCCTCCCACTTCAACCCCCACTCAAACCCATCCAACGCACAGACATTAGTATTAAAGCAAAAGAAACAGCAGTAAATCCCACCCAGGTAGAAAACCTGATCCTGATCCAAGGTGGTTCTTAAAATTCTTTGGGGTGATACTTTCCCAAATCACATGAGAGACAAAAACTCTTTCACCTTCCCTAAAAATGTACATAGTCCATGGAATTGAGTTGTTGTACTGAGTAATTCTAATTCATTATTTTTGAATAAATTCGATTCTTTAATTCTTCGTTCAGAATGTATTTGGATACCATCCCCACCTTCCAGGCTTAAGACAAGACTAGGAAGAAAGGCCTGAAGATCTATTTCTGACAACCAGTCCATGAAAACTCTGATCTCTGGATCCAAATGGTCCGTATCAGTAGTCAATCACTGCAACAATACAGGTCTACGGGGCACTTCATTCCAGTGCACATGGGGTTCCTATGAGATGTGGGGCTGCTCCAGGGTAGCTAACAACAACCCCCACCACCACCTCCCTGTCAAGGCTATTCAAGAATCATGTAATGCAATCATTTGCACAAAGAAAGGCATTTTTAAAACAGCAAACCAATGTCACCAAGGTCAAAAATGGATACAGTTACAACCCAAAGACATTTGTAAGCACTATCATCAGTCCAGGTCAAATTTAAAACCATTATACAAAAACACACAAAGCTTATACGCTATTTGTAATGGAGGGGCAGAAGTACCATGTTCATATTTTAATTACTGTAAAAGGCCAGGTGCGATTGAGTTAATTACAATGCCTACTGAAGTCCACGTGCGGGAGTAGAATTGTGTTCCACGGAACTCCCCATGGCTAATTTTATTCTGAAGTATATTGCCAGGCCTTTCTTCCAGAGTACCTCTGGGAAGGCAGCTGTGTGTAGCTTTGTGTCTCTGACCTTTCACCAATTGTACCAAGGACTTCAAGAGAGCTCTACTAGGTCAATGGAACCATTTAGAACCTAAATAAGAAACTAGAGTTATAACCTTGAAATAATGTATATGTAATAGTACAGAGGGCATAATTTTAACACTCAATCACAGCTGCTTTGATATCAACTCTTTTTTATTTCCATATCTCCAGTTGTCTCTTTTCATAGTGTTTAACAACATGAAAATAAATTTTGAAAAGGTAAAACCATGACTCATACACATAGAAACTGAGCACATGTTAAAGATTTTAACTCAAAAGGAGATCATGTTATGATAGGGTAAAGAAAATCCAAGAACAGACGCGTAATGGAATAAAGTGCAAAAGGAGGCAACACTGGGTTTCTGTAAGAGGAAAGTCAATTCAACCCCCACTGAAATTCTGTGGGAGAAAATGGAATCTGCATGTCTACTGACGAGAATTATTTAACGCGATGTGAAGGAGCTCTGGTGACGCTGTGGATTAAGCATTGGGCTCCGAATGGCAGCTGCCCATATTTCAAACCCACCAATGTTCAGCTGGAGAATGATGACGTTGCCTGCTTCCGTAAAAAAAAAAAAAAAAGTAGTCTTGGGAAACTATTCTACAGGGTCGCTATGAGTCACAATCCACTCGATGGCAGCGGTCTGGTTTATAAACATCAGAACTCATTGCTAAGCACTATTAGGCAGTCCTGCAAGGAAAAATAAGGAATTTCCACCTGCTGATAAGCACCTGAGCCTCCATCATCCCCTGAGAATGCACCCCGGGTCATTTCCCCTCTAGCGGCCCGGGAGTGGAAACAAAGGCAATGTCATCCCAGAGACCTGCAGCTCCCAGCCAACTCAGCAACCTGGGCTCAGCGCCTCTCCAGCCCTGACCAGAGCTGCTCTTGATTCGTGAAGCACCCAGTCGACAGTGGCAGCAACACGGGCACGACTTTGGAAAACCGGCCTCGCTACAACTGGCAGGGCTCCCGGCCGCCCCATTTCCCTGCACCCGAGGGCGGCCGCCGCCTCGACTCCCCCCACCCCCCACTGCCCCTTGTGCCCAGGTCCGCATTCCCTCTTCTGGTCGGCACGTCGTCCCCCACAGCACTTCGGATGAGAGAAACCCTACCAACAGCCAAGGGAGAAGGACCAGGTTTGTTCTCTCAGAGAAGAGCCCAAACTGGGGCTCCCGACCCGCATCCCGAGCCCGGGTCGCGCCCCGTGCGCTCCGGCCGCACCCCCGGCCCGCCGGCCCCGCCTCCCCTCCCAGCCCCGAGCCGCCTCTCACAGCACTCCGGCCTTCCCATCGGGCGGCAGGCGGACGGGCTCAAGCTCCGGGCGGGCGGCGGCCGAGCGGCATCCCGGACAACCCCCGCCGGAGCAGCGGCTGGCAGCGCAAGTCAAAGTCCACAGACACGGGAGTGACTGGCAGCAAAAGCGCAAGTCTGCGAAACACCGGCTTCCGCTCCCCGCCGGCGCCGGCCAATCAGAACTTGCCGATGTCGTCATTTCCGCCTAGAAGACGAAAGGAACGCCGGGCGGAAGGGGTCCCGGAAACGGATCCGGAAGGGGCGGGCCCCGTGCTGTCTGGAGCCTCGTGGAGGCCGCGGTGAGTCCTTGCAGCTTGTATTTGGGCGTACTTGCTGTGCCCACTGGGTTGGGTGGGCCCTAGTGGAGGGCATCGTGGTATGAATAACAGCCGAGGCAGGAATATTTAGGGCTTGTCAGTAGAGTATGAGGTCTCAGGCGACAGTGGCGTCCCCGTCTAGTACCCGGAGGACCATCTCGGGACTGGCACGTGCCAGGTAGACCTGTCAGAGCCGGCGGCGTGTCCGCATACTGCCGGCTCGTGCCTATGGACAGGCTCGCTTGAGCATGCTCCAGCGGGTGCTCAGGGTACCTCACCCAACTCCTACTTTCCTGACTGAAGAGATCTGTTACAGCGGCCCAGCTTTTCAGCACACGCAAGCAATGTGTTTTGGAGGATTGGGAGTTAGGAGAGGAAGCGCGGGTGACGCATTGATTAAGCCCTCGGCGTTAGGTCGGAGGATCGAATCCATTGCAGGCAATAAAAGTGTGGCAGTGTGCTTGAAAAGAGTATTGCCTTTGAAACCATTCAAGCCACTTTGGTTGTGCCTTATCAGTCACTGAGTCAGAAATGATTCACTGGCAATACCTCTTTTGGAGTGACGGTGGTGGATTGGTAGGTTTTGCTTTAGTGAGTTACTTTGGGGAAAAAATAGTTCCTTTTTTCTCTTAAGAACGTGCCAATGGTGTGGACTTGGGGGAAGGTTAGGTCACGAGCTTTCTCCAAAAGGCATCAAAATAAGTGCACGTAAAGCAAAAGCCCCAAGGTCCAATGGAAGCATCCCAGCTCTCCATAAAGATCTACAAGACTGAAGGAATTGGGACAGAATCGGTCAAGCAGCCTAGCAGAAGAGGATTCTCACAGTTAATATTCTCATTTCTTAATTTTAAATGGTTTTATATTGATTTTTAACTGGATTTGTATTGGAAAATTAGGTCATTAGGTAATAACATAAAATAATATGCAGAGAATTGAAATCCTGTAGAATCAAATAAACTAACAGTAACTTTTAAAAAACCAGTCACTACCATTGAGTCAATTCTGACTCATGGTGACCCTACAGGAAAGGATGGAATCACCCCTGTGGGTTTCTGAGAGATTAAACTCTGTGGAATTAGAAAATCACATCTTTATCCCTTGAGTGGCTGGTGGTTTCAAACTGCTGACCTTGTTTGCAGCCCAACACATAACCACTACACCACCAGGGCTCCCATACTATAGTGTCTGTCAAGTTGGTAAGTTTACAGTAAATATTCACTTGTTTTTTCAGTCATGGGCTGCCAATCTCAGTGTAAACACTTTTGTGATGGTTGAGTAGGCAGAAGTGAGCTGTCTGGTTGTGTTGATGCCATCAATATGTAATGCCACATATTGATGAAGCAGGCATGACAAGGTAGCCAGTTTGAAGCTTGAAAAATAAGAACTTACATATTGAGTCAGTGGTGCGTGAAAAATAGAGAAACCTGTGTGTTTTTGCCAGGGATTGCTTGACAGTAAAGAAAGGTGGAGAAAAATCACAAGTCAAGATGTTTTGAGCCACATGATAATAGTTGGATATTCTCTAGCCTAACCAGCACCAAGCTACCCAGCAAATTGAGTTTTTCTTGTTTGTGTGCACAGACATCAGGCATCGTAACATGGGGCTTACCAAGCAATATCTGCGCTATGTTGCCAGTGCGGTCTTTGGCTTGATTGGCAGCCAAAAAGGTAATATCGTCTTTGTGACACTTCGTGGTGAGAAAGGACGGTATGTGGCAGTACCAGCCTGTGAACATGTTTTCATCTGGGACATAAGGAAAGGAGAAAAGGTGAGCCAGAAATCCTTAGGGTGGTGGTTGATTTATGGGTATTTGGGGATGGAAGGGCTGATATGGGGTGGCTGTGATGTCTCAGGCACAAATGTTTCCATCTGCCTCTCAAAGAGAAGAGAAACCTTTTTCTTTTGAGACTAGATATCCATGCATCAGGTTTAGTTGTTTTCACCGGCACTAAATTCTGTCCAATCAGTTACAGCTTACCTTTTAGATATCAAGAAGATAATCGCTTATTTAATTAATGGTTAAACTTCATTATTTTATTCCAGACACTTTTTCCTTTTTTATTTTCAAAGCCTGTTCTCCCTAGTTTTCAAGTTCATTTTGTTGATGGCTAGTTCAGTAGGAGCTCTGATGTCACAGTGAATAAATGCTTAGCTGCTAACTGAAAAGTCAGCCATTCGAATCCACCAGGAGTTCCCTGGGAAGAATAGTCCTGGCAATCTTTCTCTTAGCGGCCATAGCCTAGCAAACTGGGACAGTTCTGACCTCTAGGGTCTCTGTGACCAGGAATTGATTTGAAGCCATCTAACATTCATTTTCAAAAGAATATCTGTTGTTGGGCTTATGCAGATCAGGCCTAAGGGTTATTAGATGAAGCTTTGATATTTTTGTCAGACTCTGAATTTTCTAAGCCCACCACTTCTGCCAAAGCGAACCCAGGCATTTGATTTTATCCACTCTTCTTGTGACTTCCAAGAGGTTAATACTTGAATGCTTATTGCCACTGAAAGTCCTTTGGTGATTTGGTGAAACCACTATAGCACTCTGGTGGCATGCAATTTGGTTTCTCATAAAATGGGACTCAGAGTGAGGATGCTTTTTTAACATTATGGAAAATAATTTGGTGACACCGTATGACTGGGGAATTTTTGTGTCTTGGAGACGCAAAATAGTCTTGGAGAACATAATTTTACCTTGTATTGAGTGTTGCAGTAGCCAGTACAAGTAGTAATATTTCCTACGTGAAAGCACTTGAGATGGGTTGTAAAATGTCGTTATTATTTCTGAGCATGATCTATGATCATTGATACTCTCAACTTCCTGTACTCACAGGAAGTTTGATGGCCTGCTTAATGTCGTCTCCACGTTGTTTCTGCTCACTTTTCAGATCCTCATCCTTCAGGGCCTTAAGCAAGAAGTCACTTGCTTGTGCCCATCCCCAGATGGGCTGCACTTAGCTGTTGGCTATGAAGATGGGTCGATCAGAATCTTTAGTCTCCTGAGTGGAGAAGGGAATGTGACCTTCAATGGACACAAAGCAGCTGTCACCACCTTGAAGTATGATCAGCTGGGAGGCCGGCTAGCATCTGGATCCAAGGTGAGGCCTGGGGTCAGAGATCCAGACTATATTAAACCAGTATAGGGCTAATGCAGGCTCAGATTGTTCACAAACAATTGTTGAGTGAAATAATGGGTTCTCAATGACATAATAGAAGTAATAGTGGACTAGTGGATATGCGTTAGGCTGCTAACTGCAAGGTCAGCAGTTTGGAACCATGTAATTGGAAACTACCTAAATGTCAGCAATAGAAATTTGTTTTAGTCTTTTAAATAAACTATGATATATCTTGAGGATTGTTTTATAATCATTAAAAGTGAGAACGATGAAATGACATGGAACATGGAAATGAATTAAATGGAAAGAAAGTATTCTTAAATGGTAGGAATCACATAATCTCAGTTTTCTAATAGGAAAGCAACATGGGTCCATGAGTAAATAGGGAATGATATAAATCAGTATGTGTGGTGATTATTCATAGATGGTAGGATTAAGGACCCTTTTTATGTCCTCTGTGCTCTTTAAAATACTGTCCAAATGTACTGAAAAAACAAACTTAACTGCCATCGAGTCAGTTCCGACTCACAGTGACACTACAGGACAGGGTAGACTGTCCTTATGCGTTTCCAAGACTAGAGGAACAGAAAGCCTTATCTTTCTCCTCCCAAAATTTACTACAAGGACTCTTCCTTGCCTTTATAATGAAAATACGGTGATACCCCATGATTGGTCAGGATAGGCCTTCTATGGTAAAGGGAGTTCATGTTCTTTGCATTAACTGATCCCTGTAGGATACAGACATTATTGTGTGGGATGTGATCAACGAGAGCGGTCTCTATCGTCTGAAGGGCCACAAGGATGCCATCACCCAAGCACTGTTTCTACGAGAGAAGAATCTACTAGTCACTAGGTAAAGCAATACTGGCTCCACTTCCCCTTCTTTTCTAGTCTAATTCATTGAAGATGCTTAAAAAGAGGGAATTTTCATCATTTTTTTATTGTTTCTCCACACTACTTTTTTTTTTTTTTAAATCACTTTCTCCACACTACTTTTAATTTCTCTCTTCTTTTCTCTTTCGTTCTTAGACTCTATCAGGGGAGTTTTCTAGGGTTATCTGTAGCCCTTTTCTCCCTTTGAGATTTAGCAATCCTTTCCCTGCTACCTGCCTTTCTGTGTGCCTTCACCTTTTGGTGCGCTTTGTCTGGACTACTCTTTGTCTACCTTCTGGATCTACAGAGAGTCAGGAAAACAGTGTGGAGCAGTGGGCAAATGTGCATATTAAGTGTTTGAGTCAGTGTATTTTTGAGATGTGTACTCCATATTTAGGCCCAATGGCCATCTGTTAGGTTAAACCATTTTGAATTTCTATGTATGTAGGTCAAAAATGGTCAAATATCAGCAGTTCTTAAAGCTTGTCGGTTTGTACACCCAAAAGTGCTTCAGAAGACAGTGAGTGGTCTGCTTCCAAAAGGTCACAGCTTTAACCCCCTGGGGCAGTTCTGCTTGACACGCATGATGTCCGCAAGAGTCAGCTTAACGACAACTAACAGCAGTAATGAGTTGGCTACCTAGGGAAGGCTAGGATTGTAAGGGTTTCCCATAGTGACTTTAGATATTAGTGTCAGGTGTGACAGCATGTGTGTGCGCGTGCATATGTGTGAGATCTACTTCAATTAAATTTTATTAACAAAATAGAAACTAGATGTGGTTCATTATAGTTAGCGATCCCCTTCTTTAAGCTTTCAATCTGGCTTAATCAGATTAAATTTTTTTTTGCTTTTTTATCATGACTTGAGTGAATATTTACAGAGCAGATCAATTCTCCATGCACAATTTTCCTATGTTTTGTTTCATCTCCTTGGTGACTCTCCCCCACAAAGTAACATCACTTCCTCTGCATGTGTTCATTTGTTTAACGTAACATGCATCCTTGAGCTCCCTGTTAGCTTCATGATGTTACTCTTCCTCCCCCGTCTCTGGCTTTAGTGGGAAAGATGCCGTGGTGAAATGGTGGGACCTTGATACTCAGCACTGCTTCAAAACAATGGTTGGCCACCGGACAGAGGTGAATGTGGGGCTCTGGGTCCAGGGAAAGGATGGGCACAAAGGGAGAAGATGCTCTTCTCTTTGGGCTCCTGTTAAAACTCTTCTTACCTATTGCTTGCGGGAATCCTCTGGAGCCCTGGTGGTGTAGTGGATGGTGCTTTGGACTGCTAACTGCAAGGTTAGCAATTCTAAACCACCAAGCACTCCGTGGGAGAAAGATGAGGCTCTGTACTCCTGTAAAGATGTATAGCCTCAAAAATCCACAGGGACAGTTATACTCGGCCCTATAGGGTCACTATGAGCTGGAATTGACTCAGTGGCAGTGAGGTTCGAGTTTTTACAGTACTATATTGTCTGACGAGACAGTGAAATCGGTGGGCTAAAGACGTGCCAGCCGTTGGAACAGACAGTACTGCTCTTGCATTTAAAATTTGCCTTTGGTTATTTTTTAATGTATAAGTTTGATCATGATTGTCCTGTCAGATTATAAAGTGGGTTAGTGATACTGTGTGTATAGAGCTAGGCCCAGTCACCCATGGAATCAACACAATATAGCTGTTTCGTAATGGTCACTTCAATGGACTTCAGGGACAGTTTTCTACTTCAAAGCGAGGTGTCTCCTCCATGCTGTATTCATATCAGCCTTCCAAAGCATGCCAGGAATTAATGAGGAGGAAAAATAGAGTCGCTCATTTACAACTCTGTTATCATTTTCATTGTTGAATTCTTAGCACTGTGAGGTTAGAAATTATGCACTAGACTTTATTGAACACCTTAATTTGTAGGCAGTGCTGAATGCTGACGAGTTTATGCTGAGCAGCTCTTATCTAAATTTAAAAACAATATATTAGCTGTTCAGTGTCCCATGAGCAACAATTGTACCATTTTATCTCTAACAAACAGACTTCTCGGGCATTATCAAAGTGCCCTGCATATGCATTCTCTTAAGATATTGAAAATGCAAGGGGATTTCACTGCAGTTTGCACACGAGTTTGGAATAATGTCATCTTGTGCAACCTGGAATCTCGTATCTTTAGTACTCGTATCTTTTTGTACTCTAGGTGTGGGGGTTGGTTCTGGTGTCTGGGGAAAAGCGCCTCATCACAGGGGCCTCCGACAGTGAGCTGAGAGCTTGGGACATCACCTATCTGCAAGAGGTATTCTGTCTTTCTGATCTCGGGCAGGGTCCTGTTTCAGCAGTTTCATGGGCTCACGCCATTAGGATCCAGTGTAGTTATTGAGTACTTCACGCAGTACTGGCATGAACACCAGTAACCAGCAATTCCTAAGTAAGATTTTCTTTGTAAAGAAACTCCTTCATACTGTTTATTTTCGATCAGAAGAGCTTTCTGTTTCTAGTCCCCAGTCATGCGCATGGCAGATGTTACTTTTGCTAAGTTACTTTGCCTGATAGCCCTGGTCCTTGCAGTGTCCAGGAACGGACTTAAGTGTCCTATCACCTCAAATATCGATGTCCATTTTATCTGTGTGAAGGTAACGAAGATCATGTAATTTCTTGTTATACTAAACGTTCTTATTCCATGTCGTTATTGCAGCTAGTTTAATGATGTTCTGTTTTTATTTGATGTAGTTAGTTTTAGTATTTGGCCATGGAAAAAGTTTGATTAGAGCAGCGGTTCTCAACCTGTGGATCGCGATCCCTTTGGGGGTTGAACGACCCTTTCACAGGGGTCACCCGATTCATAACAGCGAAATTACAGTTGTGAAGGAACAATGAAAATAATTTTATGTGTCACCACAACATGAGGCACTGTATTAAAGGGTCCCAGCATTAGGAAGGTTGGAAACCACTGGATCCGAGAGACCACTAATTGTAATTAACTATGACTAATGGAAGATGTCTCCATCAGAGATACGTCCTGGGACACGTTGCTTCAGCCTTTAATTCCTCACGTTTATTATGCAGATTGAAGACCTGGAAGAACCAGCGCCCAAGAAAACCAGAGGCTCTTCCTCGGGAACAGAGGGTGTGCCGGAGGAAGAAGATGGTCCCCTTGCGCTGGACGAAGCCCCTGAGGACGTAAGTCAGCTTTGCTTCTCGTCGTCAGTAGAATCGGATGGTAGGGGAAGGCAGACCACAGGTTTACTTTTCTTGCCACCGTTCTAGAGAATAGCTGATCTTTGTCGCAGGCGTTAATTGGCATCTTGTCTCTTCAGAAGTTCAGCAGGACATAATTTAATCATCTTCCTTTCTCTGGATTCTTCTGTAGCGCATCCTTAAGTGCAGCAAAGCTGGTTCCATCATGCGGGAAGGAAGGGACAGAGTTGTGACCCTCGCTGTTGACAAGACAGGCAGAATTCTTGCCTGCCACGTGAGTAGCCAAGCTTAATAGAAAAGAACAGAACAAGGACGAGGCTTTTAATTCAGATAGCTATTCCATCTCATATTTAATGAAGAAAGAATTTTTTCCCTTTGATCTTGTTAATGATTTAACAAGATTTGTAATTCTCACACTCTACTATCTTAATAACAACATTAGTGTTTACTATGATAGTTTCCATTATTAGGAACCATTTGTTAAATGTTTGCGTTTCTGGTTGCCCGTGGTAACCTATTTTGCAGATGAGAAAACCAACTCAGGGTTTAGGTTGTCCAAGGCCGTACCGCTACTGAGGAGAGAGAAGACACGCAAGAACTTTGTGTCATTCGTACAGAGGAGGAGCTAAGTGGAAATTGCCTGTCCTGTCCTCACATCTACCTTTTTCCTCTCTAGGGAACTGATTCTGTGCTAGAAGTGTTTTGCATTCTTTCCAAAGAGGAAATTCAGAAGAAAATGGATAAGAAGATGAAGAAAGCCAGAAAGAAAGCAAAGTATGTTTTCATAATAATAAAGTATCATAATAATAAAGTCACAATTGAATTCCCTTAATCACAATTAAATTACAATTAGTGGTTTCTCTAATCCAGTGGTTCCCAACCTTCCTAATGCTGGGACCCTTTAATACAGTGCCTCAAGTTGTGGTGACATATACAATTATTTTCATTGTTACTTCACAACTGTAATTTCACTACTGTTATGAATCGGACGACCCCTGTGAAAGGGCCGTTCAACCCCCAAAGGGATCGCAACCCACAGGTTGAGAACCGCTGCTCTAATCAAACCTTTTCCATGGCCAGAAATACTATAACTAACTACTGTTTATCAAATAAAAACAGAACATCATTAAACTAGCTACAATAACGACATAAAACAAGAATGTTTAGGAACAATGTTTAATAATAAAGTATCATAGTAAAAGTATCACCTTTTACTGAGAGAGAAACTAGCTTTCTAAAGGACATATTACTCTTACAAACTACTGTTGAAAGAAGAATTTGTGAGGAATGGGTAATTCAAACTTAGAATTTCTGCTCTTTGATCAATTTCACAATGTGTTTAAGTGATGGTGTCAGAACTAGAAAAACCGTAAGATTAAAAACAACCGAAAAAAACCCACCCAACCCACTTAGCTCTCAGGACGGCATTGAGTTGTTCAGGGCAGCAGCCTGGAAGGGCAAGGAAGCCCCAGTACTAATCTTTGGGGCTATGAGAAGACTGGTTGGACACATGCAAGGGGACTTCAGAAAGAGCGTGGAAACATTCTGTTGCATTTTAACGCCATTTCTCCACAGGCTTTTGGAAGCCCCCTCATTGTTGAAGCTTGGGAGCAATATAACTTTGCAATACAATAAGTCATTATAACCAGAGAAATCCATTTCTTAATTGTAGAGATTTGTGAAGTCTCAAAGAAATAAAAAAGTCATCTGACTTAGCCAATCTTTTGAGATCTCCTCTTGGTTTATTTCATAGTCTTGTGACATGGTGGGATTCTCATGTCCAGGTTACTAAATGTTCTGAAACGTCCCATAAGGCTAGAAAAGTTTTCCAGAAACATTTTAATGAAATACTTTGAATTTCAAAGATCCTGTCCCAGGAAATATGATACTGCACTCAGAATCCTTTTCTTGGGACTACTGAGTAGTCCCAAGACTTTGTGCGAAGCGATAGTTTGCCACCACATTCTTCGATGCTTTGGGTGGCCCGTGTGGCGAGCTTCCTTCTGAGGCTCACACGGTTTATTGGTCTCAGAGGCAGAAGATGAACTCAAGTAATAACCAAGCTGCCTGTAGAAGAGTGATCCTAGGATTCTCTTTATCCCCCCTCTCCACCCTCAGATTAAATTCTGTCCAGGGGGAGGAAGAAGACCTGGAAGTCCATGTTGAAATGAGTCTGCAGGATGAAGTCCAGCGGCTGACTACTATCAAGACTTCTGCTAAAATCAAGTGAGTGAGAGCACAATGTCTGAAGTCATCTCAGAGGTAAACTGCAGAGTTTCCATGGCTTTTGCAGGTATCTGTGGCTGACTCTGGAGTTTATGACCGTGGTCCACTCCATCCCTGCTGCCCTCACCGTAGACCCACAAGCTTATCCTGTCAGATTATTGTACTGCTCTGTTAGCTGTTCTTTTTTCCTGCTGCCAATGTGCCTGCTCATGTTGAAGAAGAATCTAAGGTCACTTAATCTGAAATGCACAGACAGTGACAGATAATGAAGGCTTCAAAAAGTTTCTCAAAAAATGGAATTAAGAGGTAATGGGATTCTTCTAGGTACTTTGTGAAGCTCCTTCATGTATGTCAGAACCAAGACCTGAGCCCATGTTTCTTTGACTTAAAAGCCAGTACTCAACTATCGTGCAACAATCCAGATTACTCTCATCTTTGTGAAATCCCTCTGACCTGCTCAAACTTCATGTGGCTGGAGGGCCTCGCCCAGCGGTCAACCCCTATAAGTTGTTCCCCTCACGCGCCGAGATGACAGCTGGAACGTGTGCTGTATGTGTTCTCCCATGCAGGTCCTTCGACTTGATTCACTCTCCGCAAGGAGACTTAAAGGCCGTCTTCCTGCTGCAGAACAACCTGGTGGAGTTGTATTCCCTGAATCCATCTGCGCAGACGCCTCAGCCCGTGAGGACCAGCAGAATCACCATCGGGGGTCACCGCAGTGATGTGCGGACTCTGTCCTTCAGCTCCGACAACATTGCTGTTCTTTCAGCGGCAGCTGATTCTGTTAAGATATGGAACAGGTTTGTGACATGACTTCCTGTAACTTCATCCAGGAGCCTTGGTGGATGGGTTATGCATTGGGCTGCTCACCCAAAGGAGGGAGAAGAGGCTTTCTACTCTATAAAGATGTACAGTCTAAGAAATGCACAGGGCCAGTACTTTGCTGCTGCCAGGTGGCTACGCGTTGGAACCAACTTAATGGCAGTGAGTTTAGTTTTTTGTTTTATAGCTTCCCTTCCAGCCCCAGTTTTCCTCCCTTTGAATTTGATGGCTGATTACTAGTCTTCTAAGGCCCTTAGTACTACTCCTTCAAAACGTATGTTAGGTGCATTTTGGCCATAACCTGGTGGAGCTTAGGTAAGAAAAGTTGCTTTTTCAAATGTGATGCCAAAACCCTAAACTTGTTCCACGTCTGAAACTTGAGACTGTACTTGGCTAGAGGGAAGCACATACTCCTACTGCCTGCTTTGAAAATTCAGGTCGCCTCTTAATGCTGTTCAGACACATGACCATGTTTCTCATTTACTCTTTTACTTTCTTAAATCACTGGTTTGCACATTCTGCTCTCTCAAACCTACAATACCTACACACACATAACAAAGATAAAGAAAACCCAGACCTTTTGGACCAGGTAAATTCCGACTCGTGGACACCTCATAGAGCTGATGAGAATTTTCCTATAGGGGTCCCAAGGCTGCCTCATCTGTCTCTCAGAGTGGCTGGTGAGTCCCTCTTCTTCATTTAACAACTCAACACTTAACCCAGTGTACCACTAGGGCCCCTTCTGGATGTCTAACCAGGCGTCTCAAACTGTAAGCCCCAAACCAAACATGGGCTTTTGATTTCTCCAACATTTCCCCACCTGCAGACTCCACATCTCAGTAGGCTGAAATTGTAGCTTTTCAGTTGTACCAGCCCGTAATATCCTTGTAGCCATCTCTGTCTCGTCTTTTCCCACATCTATCAGCCTCTTGTCTTTCTGCTTCCCCTGTATAGTTTGCTCCACACAGCCATCAGTGTGATCTTTCTGTTATGGTCCTGTTTGACATACCTCCCTGTCTGACTTCTGTCAGAGCCATGTAGCCTTCTTGCTATTCCCGTGAGCACAGCAAGCATAGGGCTGCCCTATAGCTATTGTGCTCACTGGGTTTTCTGTTGCCTTTTGCTTGGAACAATCTCCCCCCATTTACTTACAGGGTTTCTTCCTGCCTTTTTACCAAGTGACAGTACTGCCATCTTCTACTTTCATACTGCAGAACTGTGTTTCTTCCGAAGACTTATTAACTGATATACAACGTGTTTATAAATCTAGTTTCTTAGTGTTTTTCCTCCCCACTCCTCACAAAGTTAAGCTTTGTAAGTTTAGAGTCCGGTTGGCTGAAAACATTCCCAGCCCTAGAAGAGTGGCTGGCCTGGAGTGGGAAATCAATGTTTGTTGAATGAAGTAGCCTCTTAATAGGTAATTGTTGAACGGATGCAAAGAGAATGAACTTGGCTTCTACAGAGATGCTGAATTGACCTGTAATCCCATGGGCTTGCTTCTTGGTAATGGGAGGTGGGCCCTACTGAGCTGAGCAAATGCTGTTCTCTGCCCTTCCTTTGTATTTGCTCTGTGTCTTGGGGTCAGGAGGCGCCCATGATGAAAACAGGTAAGTGGCATCCTGTTTTCTCATGCTGTTTTCTCCCTTGGCTATAATTGGGTCTGACCCAAGGGTTACTAGGACGTTTGCCTTCCCATGCTGATGACCTCTGAAGTTGGTAAACATGTTCTCTTAGCACATGAGCTCTCTCTTCATCTCTCTCGTAGGTCGACACTGCAGTGTATTCGCACAATGGCCTGTGATTATGCACTTTGCTCATTTTTTGTACCTGGCGATAGGCAGGTGATCATTGGAACAAAGGTAAGCTGAAACCTGTTTGGTTTTTTTTTTTTAGTTTTGTTTTAACCAACTTCAAATTGTATGGAGGGTTAAAAGGAAGGACTTTTGAACAGTCATGATCCTGAGATAACGAACTACCATTAACATTCTGGGGATTCTTGTTTCCGGCCTCATTATGAGCACATCTCTGGTTGTGTCTTTGTCAGGTTAATGATAATGGGTATTGAGTACCTTGCGCCATCACACTTGGCACGTGGAAGCATCCAGTAACAGCAAACGGGCCAAGTCCTCGTGGCACAGGACCCACGTGTGTCAGGTAGAACCGGGCGCCATGTAGTTTCCATGGCTGACTTTTCAGAAGGAGAGCCCCAGGTTGGAAGACAGCCACGTGGACGTAGGCAGACATGGATTTGGGAGCAGGCTCCCCCTGTACGAAATGGCTCATTTGTAGTAGGTCACTAGCCTCTTCTCAGTGTCCTCATCGACATCATGGGAAGGTGCTGCTGGCTCTCTCACAGTCGCTCTGACACTGGCCGAGGTCTGAATCCCAGCTCTGTCGCTCACTTTCTGGGTGACCTTTGGGCAAGTTATTTCACCTTTTTAGGCTTGGTTTTCCCATGTAACAAGAGATGGAGTGTGCAAAGCACTTAGCACCTATAGGACTGAAACACAGATGGCCTTCAGTCAATATCCAAGCAACGCAAGCTGGTAGGCGATGTAGGAGAGTCCCTGGCTGGCACAGGAGTTAAGCACACTTGACCCCTAAAAGAAAGACAGGTGTCCTAGAGGCTGACATTCGGCTCCTGAGAGCTCACCGTGTTCTTTTGAGTTCTCAGCTCACATGGGGTCACCGTCCGTCGGAATTGACTGACAGCTAGTAACGGAAGCAAATATGGCAGTAGTCCTGAGAATGAAATGAATTACTGATTGATGGAATGTTTTGGAAAGTTCTTTGCAAATGTTTGGCATGATTAGGCTCTTAAACCAATGGTGACTACTTACCCGGCAGGGGAGATACCATGATCACGAAGGTGGTTTTCCCAGGGCGAGGCTTATCCATTGCACTCCGGATGTGCTGACCCCTGCGATTTCCCCAAATGTGGGAAACTCGACTGCATAATTTGTGGTAGCAGGGGACTGTGTTCGCGCTATCTCCTATTAAAAACAAACAAACAAACAATAGTGGTTGGTTTTTATTAGAAAAACCTGTGAATCTCAATAGCTCTTTCTACCCAGCAAAACATATAAAATTGACCGCAGAGGTCATTGGCTTATTGTCAGGGTGGTAGTGTTAACATTTCCATTAAGTACTTCGCTCACTTTTTTCATCTTTTAGCAAATGGCTGCCCAGTATTTACTGTGTGGAAAACATTTTAATAGCTTCACAGACTACATGATTAAGACACTCTCCCTAGCTTGGTTCCTGGGCTAAGCCAATGATGTACATCACCCCCTCCAGAATGCTCCTTAGAAGCGAGATTAGCAAGCTTTTATCTCAATTACTTTGGACATGTTATCAGCAAGGATCAATCTTTGGAGAAGGACTTCATGCTTGGAAAAGTAGAGAGGGTCCATAAAAAAAGGAAGAACCTTCAGGAGATGGATTGCCAGCATAGCTGCCATAGTGGACTTAACAGAGCAGTGATGGTGAGTGTAGCACAAGGTCAGGCAGCCACGTTCTGCTCTACACACACACACACACACACACACACACACACACACGGTTGCAGCGAGCCAGAGCGGACTCGACAGCACCCAGCCTGACGTCTCCCTTCCTCTCCATAGTAGCTGATGGAGGCTGCTGACCAAAGCCCCATCCTACATGTTCATAGAGGTGACTTCCCTGATAGTCATAATCATTGGAAAGAGGCTGACCTGGGATTCCAGTATTGGAGCTTTGCCTCCACCCACCATCAACCTTTGCCTCTGTGTGTGTGGTCCATGCTGACACCATCACCGCAGCCTCGACGAAGCTTGAACAGGAGCTGCACAGCCTTAGATTTATAGATGCATCGCTATTTTTTATTATCAACGTATGGGGTGGTAACCAAATCTAACTGGAATAAAGTTGATTGTGCCATTAGGTAGCGCATGGCCCATTTAGAAAGAGACTTGGTGGCGCTGTGTGTTAGGCAGTGGGCTGCTGGCCTCCAGGTGAGTGCGGGGAAAGGTGAGGCCGTCTGCTGCGATAAAAAGTGTACTGTCTTGGAAACCCCGTTAAAGGTCTCTGTGTGTCGGAAGCGGCTTGATGGTCGTGGTTTGGGTTTTGAGTTAGCCCATTTAAAACAGAAGCCCGGTGTCTGGAGTCGGCTCTGGCTCGCGGCAGTGCTGTGTGTGTCAGAGTCGGTCGCTGCGTGTTCAGAAACAGCTTGCCAGGCCTTTCTTTTTTTTTTTTTTTTTTCTTTTTTTAAATTTTATTAGGGGCTCATACAACTGTTATCCCAATCCATACACACATCAATTGTGGAAAGCGCATTTGTACATCGTTTCTCAAAACATTTTCTCTCCATTGAAACCCCCGACATTAGGTCCTCATTTTTCCCCTCCCTCCCCGCGCCCCCCTCCCGCATGAGCCCTTGATAGTTTATAAATGGGTATTTTGTCATATCTTGGCCAGGCCTTTCTTCAGAGACACTTCTGGGTGCACTCAGACTCAGCCTTGCACTTTAAAAGCCAATGTCTAACCATGTACTTCCAGGGGACTCTTGCCCTTCTTAAAGGTTTGGCTAAGCATTAAAACGCTTTATATGTGTCATTTGTTGTGTGTGTTTTTTTCTAATTTGCCTTGGCCATGATTATCCCCTTTCAGTTTCCTCTGTAGACTCCATGGCTATATTTGTGTATCTTTTTACAGTGTGGCAGCCCTGCCAAAGTTAACACTTCAGGAAGGGAGCTTATGACATTGATAAAGGGAATATAGGACATACAACTTGGGGTCCATTTCCTAAGCAGTGGACCATGGAGTGTTTTTCAGATTGTGTAGGCATAAGTTTAAGAGATTATAGGTGTGGTCACTTCGTGTTTTGTTAGACGGGGAAGCTGCAGCTTTTTGACTTGGCTTCTGGAAATCTACTGGAGACCCTTGACGCACATGATGGAGCTGTGTGGTCCATGTCCCTCTCTCCAGATCAGGTAACCATCACACTTAACTGATTTCCGAATTCTTACGTGTTAGGCCGGGTTGACTAGAGAAAGATCCAGAGCCACTCATGTATAAGAAGGAGCTTTATATCAAGACGTGATTGTATATCAGGAAAACATCCCATCCCAGTCCAACTCAAGTCTGTAAGTCTTGATATGAGCCCCTCTCCAGACTCACGAAGTCACATTCGATGATGCTAAATGCAGGATTATCACCGGCCGGTGGGTGCAAAGTCTTGTGGATCCAGTGGCAGTGGACACTTCTCTAGTGCTCCATCAGGTCTTAGTCACGTCTCATCAACAGGAAGGAGAAGGCAGAGAGAGGGGAGGTTCCCAGGACCCTCCTTATGGGAAGGTCACTCCCACAAGGATGCACTATCAGAATGTGACCTGACGGACGGGCTAGCCTCCACCCTTACACTTTTATATCGGCAAGTTGACACGAAATTAAGTAACCACCGTATCATATCACGGTTCTGCTGTTGCTTAAGAAAGTTTTCTCTAAAGGGTTCTTTTAAAACAACAAAACCAAGAAACAACTCTGCTTTTGTGTAATTAATCACGTGCCTTTTGTAGGCTTCAGAGATGATAACATCTCATACACTTGATAATGTATGCTAACTCCATTGAGAAAATTAGTTTTACTCAACTGTTCTTGGTTGTTAGCCACATAATATGGTTTACCCATTTGATTGTTTTTCTGCTTTGTGATACTTGGTTAGGAGAGGGATTCTCGGCAACACGTAGCGCAGAGCATACGATAGACTTTGCTGTTCTCCTAATTAAATATGCAAGACTTATTTTTAGCAGATTTATCAACCCTTACAAAGTAATAAAAGTACTGGTGTCTCCTTTAAAGGAGTCCTCTTGTTTAACGTTTGTTACTTCGAATGATGGTGCTGTCGCTCAGAGCATTTTAAGGCTATTCTATTTTTAAAGAGTGTGGCTCGTTAAAAATTTTTCAATGGTGGCAAATTCGTTGACAGCAGATAAAATTTGAGGGGCAGGGGATACACCTGGCATTTAGAGTGGGTAGTGAATGCTGTTTTGGATCAAAACAGCTGAATTTAATGTAATGATGATGTCTTGCGTTTACGTAGTGTTCACTTTTTCCAACATCCATGCCATTCGTTTTTGTTTGTAACAATGGCTGTACAAACTCGGTGGTTCTCCTCTGTTACCGATCTACAAAGTGACTGAATAGAGATCTGAAATCCATTTGTTTAACGCCCTGCTTTATTTCCTTTTCTATGAAAACATCAGTGAACTGAGACTTCCTTTCTGAGGGGATTGAAAAACAGTTCCAAACTTCTATTAGAGCAACATTGCATGAATTGGTTTATACCCAGAGGTTAAATGCTTTGTAGCAGATGCCTTTGACAGTTGTCTCTTTTCATGGAACAAAAGGCCTACTGTGTTCATTAAGAATGCAACTTTTGATGCTGAACAAAGTTATAATGGGACTTTTCCTTAGTTATCATTGGTCTCCATAAATTGTCCTGGACAATTTCATGAGGTGGGGGTAACAGTTCCAATGGAGGGGATTAGAGAAAAGCCATAATTGTTATTTATGCTCCATGCCATCAAAACTTTTTTTAAGAACAATTTTGTTGTATCATCTTAGGTTCTTGTGCTACCTAAAATTATTTTTAACTAAGATGTCATTTGATTTCCAGCGTGGCTTTGTGACAGGCAGTGCAGATAAATCTGTCAAATTCTGGGATTTTGAGTTGGTGAAAGATAAAAATAGTACCCAAAAGAGGTAAGTGAACATTTTTCATGTTCATTTCTTGGAGCAAAAATGGGAACCCATCAAATGGCTTTTTAACACATGACCCAGAAGAGTTGTTGTTTTAATTTATGTGTGTAACTATGCAGCAAAGCTTATACCACCTCCGCTAATCCCTCATACATAATTGGGTTACATTGGTTACATTCTGCATTTCGTGCCGCCATTCTCTGTCCTTTACCAAATGATTCCACCGTATTAACAAACTCACTGGCCTCGGAACTTCTGATCTATCCTTTTAGGTTACTGTTGTCAGTTTGATCCTAAATAGGTCAATCTTTAATCCTGTGCTGATAATCCAAAAGAACGCAACGCTCAGGGCAGACAGCCCTTACTAACTAAGCTAAACTGGTTGCTTTAAAGAAGACTTAAGGGGATAGTTTGGGATTGAGGTGTACAGAGTCTCTCCGGGCAGTTGTTTTGGGGGATCATTCAGCCTCAGTGGCTCAGAAAGTCTGCATCCCATGAGCATGCGAAATTCTGTTCGGCATTTCCCTCCCCCCCTTGGTTCAAGATTCATCTATAGAGTCTGTTTGACACTGAACTCAGGAGTGTTTTTAGCATTGTCTGTTCATGGAGTACTCATTGATGGATCGATCGATCGATGCTTTCTATTCTGCTAGGCTGTCTGTGAAGCAAACCCGAACTTTGCAACTAGATGAGGATGTCCTGTGTGTCAGTTACTCTCCCAATCAGCAGCTGCTGGCTGTGTCTCTGCTGGACTGCACTGTGAAAGTTTTCTATGTCGACACTCTGAAGGTACAGTGGTTATGCCTGAGAGTGTTTTCCACCTTCCTGACTGACCTTGGGTGTCTGAGTTGAGACAGTCAAGAAGTGGTCTTGACCGTGCTCGTCAGCAGCTCACTTCTAAAAATTCATGTATGAATCAACATCATGTGATGTGTACTATGGAAGCTCACATTCCAGAAGATTCCAATGGGGCATACATTTTGTTTAAAGGAAGTTGTCTTTTACACGCTCAGCATCACAGGGATAAAAGATTCTCTAGTAGCAGAGAGGTATAAGAGCCAGGTGTGTTTTCAGTGATTCCACACATGGAGATCATTCAGCTTTCTTTTACAAGTGGAGGTGACTGAGCCTTATGATCAGAAAGTGTGTACTGGGACCCAGAGAGTAAGACTGGGTTAGACCTGGGGATATTTTTGTCCAACAAGTGCCCAAGGGTTATTTTCAGTAAGAATTGCCAGAGACTAGCATCTCTCTTTATTTTATTTTTTTTATTTGAGACTCGCATCTCTTTGCCTTCATCCGGCTGAAGCAGGTTTCCAAGGGAATCCTTGACTCCACTGTATCACAGTATTCTTGGCAAGTGCACGCAGAACTGGGTAGTAGACAAATGACCTTAGCCAGCTGCCTCCAGTGGCTCTGTCTTTCAAAACATTTTCTGAAAGCAATCCAGCATAGAGTTTAAGCTTATGCTCTAGACCTACATGTAATAAATTTGACCTATATCTTCATAAATGTGAATTGATTCTTTACATTTTCTGTTTATGTGTAGTTTTTTCTCTCCCTGTATGGACACAAGCTGCCTGTTCTATGCATGGACATCTCTTATGTAAGTAAAGCTTAGGTAGTATTTCAGCATGCGTTTTCTAAAGCAGACACTGTCTCAGTCCCTGGCTTGATATAGTTAATTTAGACATTTCATCCTTCTGGGTTATATCTGACTTTCTCCACAGACAGTCCTAAAATAACACAATCACACCTTAAATATTTAAACAATACTTTCATGTTTACAGAATACTTTTTTAATAAAGTATAGCACTGTAGAAAAATCAAATAATTGGGTGCTCTTAGTAGATTGATTGATTGATTTTAGCATCGCTTTACATATTTGGGGGAAAGGTGGGTTGAGTGTTCCGTTGAGCTCCCCGCTGGCTAATTGACAGCACTGAGATACTCGAGCCAGCTGCACTCCCCTCTGTTGTAGGATGGGACGCTCATAGCAACTGGCTCTGCTGATCGGAACGTGAAGATCTGGGGCTTGGACTTTGGGGACTGTCACAAGTCTCTCTTTGCACATGATGACAGGTAAGTGTTATAATGATCATTTCCCTTGGGTGTCTGCATCTTATAATTTATTGTTACGGTGGCTCAGTGAATCATCTGATACTTTAGAAATTGCGCTTTTAAAGCTATACCTGGAAACCTTTTGCATCTGTAAAACTCTTTTTACTAACCTAGACGTTGATGACATTTGAGTACTTCTCTCTCACTTTTCAGTGTGATGTATCTACAGTTTGTAGCCAAGTCTCACCTCTTCTTCACTGCTGGAAAGGACCGGAAGATCAAGCAGTGGGATGCAGACAAGTTTGAACACATTCAAACCCTGGAGGTAAACCCTTAACCTGCTGCTTTGCTTGGTCAGTATTTTAAAAGGACTGTTAAGATGGAGTGCTTAGCTCCCACATACGTGAGCAAGTCGTAGTCTTCTTGCTCAGGGTTTTTGTTTTGTTTATTTCTCTGTCTAGGGGCATCACCAGGAAATATGGTGCTTGGCCATAAGTCCCAGTGGAGACTACGTGGTGTCGTCATCCCATGACAAGTCTTTGAGACTGTGGGAGAGAACAAAGGAGCCACTTATTCTTGAAGAAGAAAGGGAGATGGTAAGAATTTAGTCTTGGGAACAAGTACTGGGGGGTTTTGAATAGTTCATAGGCAAGTTCCATCTTGTCTTAATTCCATTTTTACCATGAACTCTTTGAAGTTCGTGTCTAATGTAGCCATACCTCATTCATTACAAGTTCAAGCACTTCTAAGAGACGTGCATCTAAGACCTATGTCACCAACTGCAGAGACAAAGGTGTCCTTAGATTTTATTTTGAAAACTTCTCAATGCCTTACTTTCTTTTCACACAGCGACCAGTTTTTTTTCTCATGTCCTAAGTTCTGTCTGTCTCCTAACAGGAGAGGGAAGCAGAATATGAGCAGAGTGTGGCCAAGGAAGACCAACCAGCAGTAAGTAAAATCTTCTGGGGCTGACCGTAAAGTTTGCCCGGTTAGTTAACTTACTGCAATTTACTAAAGTGTCAAGAATTTCTCATTGAATTAGAATTGGGGCTGGATGCCAAAGCCATGACCGGCTGGTGTGGGAAACAGTCTGTAGTGCTTTTTATATAATTGCATGCCCTGCTTTTATGGGGGTAAGTGATTTATTTATTTGGTATAGGCAATTGTCAATCTGTCTTTTTTTTTTTTTTAAGGAGGCTTAGTTAATGTCACTGTAGGACAAACAAAGAAGAGTGAAATTTGAGAAATTGGGCATTTTCTTTAAACATTCCTTGGAGGAAGATATGCTAATGATAATGCATATATAATAAGTCCTTAACATTGTGTCTGCAACTTTTAGTAGCACTCCACTAATGGTTGCTGGTAGTACTGCTCACATCATCATATAATAATGCTTGGTTTTTAACAGATGTAGATTAATTCATTGCTTCTTTAATTTCTGTCAATAATATGTATTATTCAAGAACCTCTTTGTTTCTGGCAGGTTCCAGGGGAGACTCAAGGTGACAATTACTTTACTGGAAAGAAAACTATTGAAACCGTCAAAGCAGTAAGTTGACAAAGGATGTTGTTTCCCAGTGGGATCCACATCTTCACTAAAAGCCTTGCTCTCTGTGTGCAAAATACCTGTTTTATGACCAAAAGTCGATTTCCAGACAGTCATCATAACCTCTCTCACCCTTTGACCCAGGACAGGAAGCGTCTTGCATCTGTTGATCAGTGCATGGTTTCTAGGACGGAAAGCTGAGCTCTCCCTGAACAGAGCACCTGGCAGGTGTTCTGAGCTGCCCTACTTAGGGTGTTCAGATCCAGTTGCACCTGGGTCCTTCGCACTTAGTCCCCTCCCTGTTCGTTTGAAAAGAAAAACCGATTGTTTGGCAGTCTTGGCACATCTTTATTCAAAGGCTTCAGCTATAGCTTGTGGTGAATTTCCAATCAAGTCTTCTCGTTCCAGTGCCCTCGGGTGTTGGAATTATTCCAGTAATTGCTCGTCTTTGTCATCTGTGCAGGCTGAGAAGATCATGGAGGCTATAGAGCTGTACCGAGAAGAAACTGCAAAAATAAAAGAACACAAAGCCATTTGTAAAGCTGCAGGAAAAGAGGTAACGTTGTCCCATTAAATAGCACTCCGAGAAACAGTGGTCTAGAGACAGTTCCCAAGAAGGAAGCCGTCATTTCAGGATTTGGTCATTTGGATCAGGACAAAAGATCAATGTAATAGAATCTGTCTTATAATTTAAATATCGGAGAGAAAAAGAAACCAAAGAACTGAGCAAAGAAGGAAGCGTGGTCATACAAGGGAACGATAAGAAAGTATACCCTGGGGTGATGGCTGCGCTACGAGGGAAGTCATGTTGGTTGATTGCTGAGGGTGCGGGCCAGGCCGCCGTGTCCAGTGTGCGTGCTGTCCGCTGTTTTGCCCAGACCCATTCATGAGGACTGGAAAAGGAAGGCCTGACAGGCCATTCGTCTAGAATTCGATCCTTAGTTTTTAGGGTCGTTCTTTCTTCAAAATTTCAAGTTAACTGTTAGCACCCTACCTGTAATAAGCATTGCTTATTTTTTAGTGATTTGGTCTCATTCTTCCTTCATAGGTTCCTCGTCCCATCAACCCCATCCTGATGGCTTATGGCAATATCTCAGTGAGTAGACTTGTCTGAACAGTCCCCCTGTGTGGTTCACGGGCGGTCTTCCAGGAAAGGAGAGGAAGTGAAGAGGCAGTGGTTTGGGAGAATACGTTGACTTTAAAACTATCCCTCAAATGGTGGTGTCGTGAGGATATTTTGTCTTTCAAAAGGACTACTTTGGGGTAATATCCAAGTCAGCTCCGCAAACCCCCCCACCCCCCGTTGTTTTTTTTTGTTTTACAGTATTAGCGTTGTGTGTTTTCAGTCTTTATGTTCAGTGTGCAAACACGGAAGGTTTCATTCATCTAAGTGAATAATGAAATGACCATCTTTGGAGGAAAACTTGGCATTATCCGTCAGATAAATGAAGGGAAAGAGAAAGTACTGGGAAAGCGTGTGTTAGCCTAGCAGTCTGTAGTTCCGTAGCATGTGCCTCTCCTGTCTGATTTGCATGGCAGTCATGTAACTCGGTGTCTTCATTGTGTACATATAGAAACTGCCCTGAGTTCTATCTATCAGGTAACCAACTGGTAGGTGACAGAGCTGGATTGTTAACCTGGCCCAGGCTAACTGCAAGCCCCAGGATCATCTTGCTGTTTTAGGAAAGGGTGAACTTGGATTCAGTGGAAACCAACCAGGAGTGTCACTAATGCTTTTACTCTTCTTCCCTAGCCTTCAGCTTATGTGCTACAGATTTTTAAAGGAGTCAAATCCAGGTGAGTCTTAGTGCCACAACGAATATCATTTACTACTAAAGGCATTTAGCAAATGCTGATTGGAGTAGAATTTGGAAAGGATCCGGATGGGGATAAAAAGGAAATTATTTATAATAGATGGTCATCTACTTGATAGGTTTAACTATGTGAGAATTTCGATGCAAAATAACTCATTATAATGTTTTGTTTGAGACACTAGAACAAAGACTCCTAGGTGTGAAGCGACAAATGAAATGTGGTATTCCTTCATGTTGTAAATGAAGTAAATTCCAAGTACCACTTGTTACCATTTTTTACTATTCCCTTTCTAAGTACACTCACAATTGGAATCATACTGTATACTTTTTGTCCTGCTTCCCCCCATACGATCCTGCACATTTATTCATTTTATTAATATTCCTGAAAAATACACCATTAATTCAAATACTCTATTGTATGCATAATAACTGTTGGGCGTGCTGCATTTTTCTCTTTTACTATTATCTGTAATGCTTCTCCCTGTCATCCCACTGATTCCAACTCATAGTGACCCAATAGGGTAGAGTGAAACTTCCCCTGTCGTTTTCTGACACTACGAATCTTGAAGGGAGTGGAATGCCTCATCTCTCTCCCAGGGAGTGGCTGCTGGATTTGAACTGACCTGTGTTTAGCAGCCCAGCACTTAACCCACTACGCCATTGCTAACTGTAAGTTCAGAAGTTTGAAACCTCCAGCTGCTTCACCGGAGAAAGACAAGGCTTTCGACCCCGATAAAAAGTTAACTGCTGAGTCGGAATTGACTCATAGCACTGACTTTGAAGGGTTTTTTGGTTTGGTTTTGTTTTTGAATAATGCTTCAATGAGAAAATGGGATTATCCCCATCTGTATCTATATAGGCTTGAGAGAGGTTAAATGCCTGTGTGCTTATATCTATACTGTAAATATGTACATGAATGTCGTAGAACATACAGTTGCAAAGGTATGAAAGTTGGTTAGACGTAAACACCGTGAGAGAGACACCGAAGTCAGCTGGCAGAATGTAGTTCACAAGGGTAGTGCTCTTCATCCTACTCTCTGAGTAGCAGCTGGGTCCTTCACAGCGGTGAGCAGCCACCTCAGGTGAGACTGTTGGTCTTGCCCCATCTGGAATAGCGAAGATCGACGTCTCCATGGGAACAATCCACTGGACCATTGGACCGTGTGAACAGCCGTCTCTTACTCCCCTGAGACCAGAAGAACTCCTTCAGACCCAGCTTCCAGTGCCAACTGCTCTGAATGGGATCAGCTTAGAAAGCCTTCTATAGAGTGAGAGAAAAATGTAGGGAAAACTCATCAAAAAGACCAAGCTTACTTGGAAAGAGACTAAAGAACCCCCAAAACGACGGCCCTTGGATGCCTTTCAGGTTCACAACTGAATTCATCCCTTGTGGCCCGATTACCAGCCAAGCAGTAGGCAGGTCTGTAAGGGGAATAGTACCACGTGGGAGGTCGACACGCCTCAGATTAATCAGCCCTTTTTGAAACCGAAAGGGCTGCAAGAGAAGAGCTAGAAAACATGCTTGGAGGCCGGAAAGAAGTAAGAATAAGAGATGTCACATTGTGGGGATTGTAACCAATTGTGTATGTGTTCCCCAAGAAAAGGATATCAATTTTCATAATACATCAGAGCATCAATATATCCCTAACAACACACAGGATCTGAGTGAGAGAAATGATGAAGCTTTACTAGAGAAATACAAGAGAAATTCAGGATTAATGGAGAAACAACAAATTCCTAGATGGGAAGACCGTTGCCAATATTTTTCTATAACTAATTTATAGGTTTGTAATTTCAGTTGGCATTTCTAATTGGAATTGATGAAATGGTACCAGAGCTGGTTTTAGAAAGTAAAACAACCCTAACCAGAATAGCAAGAGGGAATTACTCAAGATTAAAAAGCTACAAGATCAGCATTCATCCCAACAATGTAGGACTGCTTTCAAGATTGCTAGCCAGATCCTCCACACCGTCCCAGCGGCTCTCAAACAGATGATGTAAACATAGGACTCACGTGCTAACAGAAGTAGAGAGAGACTGAAGACTTGGGCAAAGTTGGCTATTTGGAGGGAAAACCAGTTAGATTCTATCAAGGTGCCATAGTGTTCTAAATAGGTTTTAAAATAAGCATTTTTCAAAATCTCTAATATAGGTAAATAATGTATCTCAGTGGACAAGATGTTCTCACATATACACATGCTAGAAGATCATAGCAAAGAGAAAGATTCAGAAGTTGTGCTAAGAAATATGCCATTTCTCATGTTTGTTTTTTTCCCTCCCTCAGTGAGCTAGAAGAATCTCTGCTTGTGCTACCTTTTTCTTACGTCCCCGACATTCTTATGCTCTTCAATGAATTCATCCAGCAGGGCTCTGATGTTGAGCTGCTGTGCCGGTGCCTCTTCTTTCTCCTCAGGTAACATCCTTTCCTCCAGAGAACACCGGGTGCATTCAGCCTAAAACTGGTTCTGGTAGTTAAGTTAACTGAGGCTGCTGCCAGACCTGGGAGATGGAGAAATCGTAGGCTTGCACTTAAGTGACGGTTTTGTAGTCTGTCAGGGCTGCCCGCCTGACATGAGTTATTTCTCTTTGGGAATCAGTCTTGCTCTTAAAGTGGTGGTGGTGATCCACTCTGATAACGTGAGGTGGTGGAGGAATGCTGTGCAACGGGCCTCAGGTTGCAGTCCAACATGGCAGTTCTGGGTCTGGGGAGGTTGCCGCACGCAGCCTCTTGAATGGTCAACTGACTTATTTTGTTGTTTCTTTTACATTATTTAGTTTATGCCACATGGATTTTGTTTCATTTCCATAGCAGCATTTTAAGAAATGCTCATTTCTCCAGGTCTCACAAGCGCAGAGGGAAAAGTAGGGGCATATATAGGGAAAAAGTAAGGAGTGTGAAGAGAATATATCATGAAATTGGATTAAGTGTGGGATAATCTTGTTAATACGTAATTGAGAAGGATATGTTTTCGAAGACTTAGTATATTCTCATTTCCTGATCTACTGCTCTTCTGTTTCAAGTTGTAGCTGGGAACAGGAAAGGGACAAAATGATCATTCTTTAAAATGTTGTTAGGAAGGTAAAATAAAAACTGGTCAGCCAATACTACAGAGTTAAACAGGTGTCTTCAGTGCGTTCATAGTCACTGCTTGATTTGGCTGGAATTGGCCTGTTGTGGTGATCCTCAATCCTCTGTTCTTTGTGTTCTACTGGAATGATAGCAAAAGGAGGACCAAGAAAAACTCACTGCCGTCAAGCCAACTCTGACTCACAGCAAGCTGATAGGACAGAGTAGACCTGCCCCTGTGGGTTTCCAAGACTGTCCATCTTTAGCCTCATCTTTCTCCCTAGAGGCTGCTATTGGATTCAAACTGCTGACCTTTTGGTTAGGAGCCCAACTTGTAACTCGCTCTGCCACCGTATCACCTAAAGGGCAGAGAAGAATTGTCCCTTTTGGTTTGTAAGACCTTTAAAAATCCTTATGGAAACAGACAACCTCATTCTCCCGCAGAGCAGCTGGTGGGGTCAAACTGCTGATGTTGCAGTTGACAGCTTGCTGCCATATGTGTGTTTTGGGCAAGTTGTGAGGACATAAATTTTCACTCAGTGATACTTAGGTAACTAATGCTTTGGCATATGTACTGTTGATTAGGGGGTCACTGATTTCAAAAGTTGTTCCGTGTTTATTTCTTTAATACTTAGGTATCAGAGTGGTAGATGGTACTGCCTGGCCAGTAATGTGGCAGGTCCCCATTGAGAGGAAACATGAGTCTAAAGGAGCACGAATTGGTCAGGTGTGTTTGGAGCTCCAAGTCGGAGCATCACTCTGCTGTGGCTTCATTTGAAACCGGGATATGCTTTGGTTGCGGGCACATTCTCAGATGGCCTCTTGTGTGTCTGAACTTCCCCCAAGATAGCATTGTAAAATCTTTGACGACCCTACCTGGTAGAGAGCTAGGAAAAGAGTGTTGCACATAAATTGGGCATATCACAAAGTTTATTTCTAGAATTGCTGGCAGATAGTTGACTAATAGGGAAGTAGACTTTAGCATTGTTCTTACCAGAAACATTTTTACATTGATTTTGTTTGTTAATGTTGAGATTTTAAGGATGAATGCATCTGCTCTTTACAGCTTGACTCTTTTCTTTTTTGCATAGAATTCACTTTGGGCAGATCACAAGCAACCAACTGCTTGTACCCGTGATAGAAAAATTAAAGGAAACGACTATTTCAAAAGTCAGCCAAGTCCGGGTGAGTGAGTGGCTTTGTGGAGGTGCAGTAATGAGAGCAAGCGATATGGGACTTAGAGGTCGCATCGAATGCTGTCTCTGTCTTTAGGAAAAGTACTACAGATACAAGTGCACGGGAGGTGACGTGTTTTGGTTTGGGTTTGGAGCTAGGAGAAATCAAAAACAAAAAATTTTATATATATTTATAGAGAGAGAGAGACGGACCATGAGAGCAACACCAAGGGCACGTTCACATAATGTTCTTTGTTTTCCTCTCCAGGATGTTCTTGGCTTCAACATGGCTGGTCTGGATTACCTCAAGAGGGAGTGTGAGGCAAAACGTGAAGTTACATTTTTTGCCGATGCCACAAACAACTTGGAAGAGAAGAAGAGGAAGAGGAAAAAGAGAGAGAGGCTAATCCTAACATTGACTTAGAACTGAAGTATGATGCCTTTTTCTACTCCTTTCTCAAAAGGACTTCCAAACTGAGCAGCAGGAGCGTTGACGTCACGTCAAGACCAACGAAAAGAGGACGTGCTGTGGACGCTGCCAGGATGTGGACCCCCGCTCTGAGGGCGGGTCGGCATGGTACTGAGGGCTCAGTTCTCAGACTCAGGGTCCCGATGAGTTTAAAGTCTTTCTTTGTCCTCAGCCCCCTGCAGAAGTTGTTCCCTTTTTAGTTCCAGCAGGAAGCAAAGAATTATTTTTTTAAATTTTGTATTTATTTCAGTAGCACTGAAATGAACCTGTAGAAATGTTGACAGCAGACGGTTTGATGGAGCCTGTTAGCTCACAATGTCGGGTTTCACAGTCAGGTGCACAGTCGATTGTCCGTGCCCTGTAAATGCAGCCATGGACTTGTAGAATGGAAAGTCTCGAAGTCAGAAGCGCATCCCTTAACATAATCTCACATTGTTTTATATCTGTCTATAAAAAGACCATAAGTCTGTTTATATTTCTGAATTAGTTTTTTCTAATTAAATAATAGCCAAACTGAGATGTCTGTCGTTATTTATCTGGCAGGGATTGAGGAAAAGAGATTGCCACAGATACCGCGTTGGGTATTTCTCTGTGGGAAGCATTTGAACGGACTGATTCAGTCTTTAGTTGAGACAGGCCGATTTGGTTTGCTCTGTGTTGCTGACTGGGCTTCGGTGGTGTGTGTCTTCCCGGGAATGTGTCTGTCTCATTTCAGTCACTGATGTCGGCCTGGCCATCTCCTTCCCAGGTGCAGAGTAGCAGTTGGGTGCCTGTGTCGCAAACCATGCATTCTGCAAATGTTACCAAGCCTCACAGTCACTGAAGTGAGATTGGAAGTCAGTGTTGTTAACCGTCAGGTGGAATAAGAGTAAAGAGAGTTTTGGCACAGGCTTCTGAAATTAAGTGCTAACTGAAAAGGTAGGCGAACAGATAATAAAATATATTCTAGATGCTTTCTGAGCTGAGAAAGCAGCTTTCCTTTGAGATGGCTGTCCCTGCTACAGGGGAGAGGCGTTGGGTAATTCTCAAACTGCGTCTCAACTAGTGATGAGAACAGAGGCTGCAGCCATTCTCTGAGTTTGCTTCTTGCAGCTCTACATCTTTCAGTGCATCTTTAAAAAACGGAAGCATTTCCCGTCAGCATTCTTAATAGTTTCCAGACCAAAAAGAGTTCCAGGAACCCACTCTAAATATGTATGTCATCCGTAATCACTGCTTCCCAGCAACCTTCCCACCTTTCAGGCTTGCTAGACCGGCAGCATAGAAGAGGAGTGCTTCGGAAGCATTACAGCACTCAGAGAGGGACTTGTGACAGTTAGTAGCCGAGCTGCTTCTCTGGGTCAGAATCCCTGAAATCTTTTACTACTAAAGATTTGAAGTTAACAGGTAAACAAAATAAAATAAAAATTTCTTTAAAACAACCAGGTTTCTATTAATTAGGTCAGCTTGGCTATGTATGATTCAGAGAAAAGAAACCACCCCCCACCCCCAAAAAGGCCTCATAAATGATGTGTTAGAGGAGTACTACAACTAAGTGTTTCGTGTTCTTAAGTTCATGGGAAAATTCCACTATCTGTCAATGCCACTTTTCTACACATTCTGTAGCATCCCTTCACATAAACATTTAAAGATGATGCACCTAAAGATTTACGGATTCCCTAGCTGGATAGTAGGTGCTTCGTATAGCTGTATTCTGTAGTTTCTCCGTGATACGTATCATAGCATCCCATAGGAAATCTTGCACGTCTGTAGCAGAGAATTAGGACCGAATCCAAGAAAGCAATGGAAAGCACTGATGTTGGTCCCTGGGCCCAAGTCTATATCTAGGCGTACACTTAGCCACCCCCCCACCCGACCCCCATCCTCTCCTTTGGCCCCCCTCATCCATCAGCTATAACCAATAACACTGTCCAATGTAGCCAGTCCAGCCTTCAAAAAAAAAAAAAGGGCCCTGTCAAAACAGTGACATCTGGGGGGATTTGCTGCGCCAGTAAAGTTAAAGCCCGAGAGGCCAGCTCAGAAGGATACAGCTACTGGTTTTTCAGGATTCTAATGGGGTCATTTTGATGGGTTTTCTTAAAGAACACGGGATGGTCATGGGCATTTATTAGGGTGAGGTTTTGTGAAAATGGAAAACTGCATTGGTGAAAGAAAGGCCAGGAGAGTTACCCTGGAGTTTTGTTTGTTTTTATTATATCACAGCCATGCACCTGCTCGTTCTTTGAGGTAATAAAGGCTGTCTGTCCTAGAGAATCTTAGCCCACCCATCCTGCAATCCCGATAATGCCCCTTCAAACTTATTTTTGTTCTCCCCAAACTCAAAAGAATCTTGATAAAGAACAAAATTTGAATGTCTTCAGAGTACTCAAATTGCCGCTTTGGTGTGTGGATAAAAGCACAGAAGGCTTGGGAGAAGGATTAGTGTAAAGCGACCAGACGTCCCGCTTTTGGCGGGACAGTCCCGAATTTGAACAATTTGTTCCGCGTCCTGCAGCGTTTTTAAAAAGTCCCGATTTTTGGAAAGAATGCACGACAAGCTAGGGAACGGTGGGGGAACCAAATTTTTAATCAAGAACCCCCCCACTCCACCCCGGTCAATGGTGTCCCGCTTTACCAATGTTAAAATCTGGTCACTTTAGATTAGTGAGATGAGAAGGGCCGCCTTCTGAAATGTGTGTGTGTAGACCAGGATAGATCCGGAGAAACAAGAACTTTGCATTTTGTTATTGTTTTAAGACAAGTTTGTTAAACAATACTTCTTGGCTTACCTTCAGATTACAATGTATATAAAGAGGTTGCTGTTAATGAAAGCAAGTGTTTCCATTAACCAGGCTAAGTGTCTCGCACTGGTTTCTGGTGAGGAACAATTCCGAGGGTGTCAAGGGTCTCACATTTTAATTCACGTTGAAATGTCTGAGATTCAGATTCCCATTTAGTACTTACTGGGCCTAAGGAGAAATTCTCCGAGACAAGAAGACTCCAAGGGTAGAGGGAGAAATTGTAGACATCTGGACCATCGGATTTTCTTTTCCCTGAGGAAAATCTTCTGGTCTGTTATCATAATTTCTGCCTGTTAAAACTAGTAAATACTTGTTAAGGACAATGCTTTTCATGACAACAGGATGTGTTACATACTAAACCAATAACACTTTATAAACTCTAGAATCAGTAGCTCAATTTTAGCTACTCTCCTGTCCAAAGCGAAGTCCACATGCTCAGGCTTAGGGGTGTCTTGATTGGAATTTCCTGTGACCCTCACCCACCCGCCCCCTCTCAGTGTATGTTTTTCTGCTAACTGGCTGGTCCTACAGAAGCCATGACCATCACCAGGCCCCAGACCAACACCCTCATTCTATTATTTCTTTGCTTAACAGAGAAGAAGGTTTAGGCAGAGGAAGGAAGTAAAATGGTCTGATAAAACTTGCTCCCGGCTAGCTACGCTTAAACAGCTGGGCAAGGAAATAAAACAATATATTAGCATTAAGTAAAATGTTTAAATTACCATAATCAGTAGCAGGGATTCGGGTTTTCTGGACCATTCTCTTTTAACTATCCCATGTGAGAGGTTATAAGATTTGACTAAATTCCCAGAGGCTATTTCCGTCTATCTCTTTGGGAGAATCCTCTCCGGTGGCTACAAAGGGAGAAGGAGAAAACATACGTGCCTAATCAGTGCTTTCCTGAGGACCCTCTAGGACATTGCAATCCTCTCTCAGGTACCCCGCCTCCCATTTCCATCAATAGGTGCCACCTCGAGCTTTACCTTTTTCCTCCCAAATAGCTTTCACCCATGTCCCTTCATGTTTACTGTTGTCACCTGTAGTTCTTGTCCTGACACCTGGCATAATGAAGTAAAACAAGTCGTTGTAGTCCCCCTTTAAAAACCCATGTATTTCTCCCGAAAAACCCTTCTCATAAAGATACATTGACCTTCCTATTGCTTAAGTAATAAAAATTTTAAGCCAAGGGTTCTACAACTTGACTCCAACCAACTTTCGCTTATATTTCTGAGATTCTCCCTAGGCTCTCAGCAAATTGAAACTCCTATTAATCTCCTCTTAAAGCAAGAACTCTCCCATTGATTTATTCATCCTTCTCTAAAGCGTTCTTTCAGGATGTTTTTGCATTCTTTATGACCCAGTGTAAACATTAAATATACATGCATACAAATATATGATTGATGTCATTGGCAAAGTACACATAAATCCAGATATGGAAACTTTATTGCCGCTACTGGATTCCAAAAAGGAGCCCTGGTGGTAGAGTGGTTACATATTGGGTTGAGATTCACAAGGTCAGCAGTTCAAAACCACCAGGTGCTCTGAGGGAGAAAAGGCTTTCTTCTCCCATAAAGAATTAGTCTTGGAAACTCACAGGCAGTTCTATCCTGTCCTGTAGGGTTGCTATGAGTCATCATCAACTCATTGGCGTCAGTTCAGACTCTGAGCCTGTGTACAATATTAACAGAACTTCATAAGGTTTTCAGCGGCTAATTCCTCTGAAGTTGCAGTCCATTCTTAGTTTGGAAACCCCACTGAAACTTGTTCACTTTGGGTGAACAAACACCCTGCTGGTATTTGAAATACCAGTAGCAGCTTCCTGTTGTGACACTAGCCACCTCAGGATGGCCAAGAGACAGACAAGTGGTGGTTGTATAGAATAGATACACCTTATCTGTGAATGCATATCCAATTAAGTGACTAGCCAACCTTTCTAAGACTATCTACAGCAAGACTGTGCTTTATTTGGTAAACATTTGCTTTTTATTTTTATTCTCATTGATACCCTATCAAGAGCCAATAACGTTGACTTTTGCTCCATATGCAGTTATTGCATATGTACTAGGTACTAGGCATTTGGCTAACTGCTTGCAAGGATGAAGAGAGTGTTTTGATCCTAAGACATTTAATTCTGGGGTCCCACAAATAAAACAAGGGGCTAGAGAGTATCATTTTGACTCCATGTTTTTCTGGCACGAAAGTATTATTTGCATTGTAACACTTGACCGTTAAAGGATATTCGCTTCCACAGGTAAGAGCAGAACATCATGCTCAGTCGTAATCTCAATATTGTGAGTGATGTGTGCGGATCCCTTCGCGCCGTCCTCTCCAACAGCCATGGCAAATAACTCCACTCTCAGGTCTACCTGCAAACCCGCTGCCACCTGAAAGACAAAGCTTGTTTAGAAGTTGTAGTGTTTTTTGTTTCGTGGGAGGGGAAGGGTGAGACATAGTGACGAAAGTTCACAGTGGCTCTACTTTTCAGGGTCTAGGCCAGACTACTACCCGAATGCTGGCCCACAAGCATTCTCCAGTAGCGAAAACGGTGCTCCCCTGCAGTGAAAACAGGTGCTCCGGGGACAGCACAGAGTAGAACCACCCACAGGGTTTCCCAGGTTGTCATCTGTATAGAAACAGAGTGGCTTGTCGGTTTGAACCACTGCCCATCTGTTCAGCTGTCAAGTGCTTTGATATGCTGATTAATTTTCCTTAAGCAAATCGCAACCCCAACCCCGCAGCCCCCCCGACAACATATTTAAGAATAGCAGGGCCAACAGAACACAAGCTATGATAGGGCATAGAGCAGAGGTTCTCAGCCTTCCAGCGACCCTTTAATACAGTTCCTCATGTTGTGACCCCCCCAACCATGAAATTATTTAGTTGCTACTTCATAACTGTCATTTTGCTACTGTTATGAATTGGGTGGCCCCTGTGAAAGGATCGTTCGACCCCCAAAGAGGTCAAAACTCACAGGTTGAGTGAGAACCACTGCCATACAGAAACAAATTACTTTTAACGACTTAACGAATTAACGACTTTTCCCAATGTTTTAGTCTGGGTAGACTAGAGAAACAAATTCATAGAGACACATATGTGTATAAGAAAGAGCTTTATATATAAGAACTCTTGGATATTGAGAAAACATCCCAGCCCAGATCAAGTCCATAAGTTCGATATTAGCCCATATGTCTGATACCAATCTATAAAATCCTCCTCAGACTCATAAAACACATGCAATGATGCCAAATGCAGGAAGATCACAGGCCAGTGGTGGGAAGTCTTGTAGATCCAGTGGCATTGTAAGCATCTCAGCACTGGCAGGCGTCTCCACATGGCTTCTCCAGGTCCAGAGTTCTGGCTGCATCAGGGTAGGTCCAGGCTTCTCATGCCTCACAGGCTTCTCATGTCTCACAGGGAGTCAGCTGAGAGTGTCTCCAAGGAGGAAAAACCAGAATCCCCAGGAGAAGGCCATGCCCACACAGAGGCCTCATTGGCTGTGATCTGATTGACAAACTAGACTCCACCCCTACACTCTTAACCTCCAGTCCCAAATTGGCACCAGATTATGTACCTACCACACCCAAGTACTCAGAAAGAAGGTGGAATGAACCTAAGTCACCTTCCATGTGCATCAGACAAATCCTAGGAGCAAGCCACCTCTGACTTTTCTGATACCTTCAAGTCTCACTCCTTTCATGATGTTTGAGTTTAGTCTTCCCATGAACTTTTGGAAACGCCCTCATGTATGTAGATGTCAAGAATGAGCATTAGCCCTCTGGATCGGGAACAAAACTATTAGGCTCCGTTGCCAATCCTGGGCTGTGTTCTTTCTCAGGTTCACAACATTAAAAACAAAACAACTATTTTCATTGAGTTTAATGTGCTGAGTTGGGTGCCACATCAGTAGTAAAAATGTGGTATTCTTCCCTGAAAAAGGGAGCCTGTGAACATACATTTTTTGAGCTGTGTAAACATGCATCCTGTACAAAGTGTTTTGAAAAAGCCTATCTTGGGAAATAGCAATCTAACTATAAAGCAAACACTGAGCCAATCTAGTTCGATAATGCATTCCACATGCCAAAGATAAATGCATCTCTGTGGAACGCAGCCATTCAACAGGTATTTGTTCTGAGTCTGCTGAAGTGAAACGTTTGGGCCTCATGAGGCAAAGAATTTGACTTAATGGTGCTATTGACAACACTGTCAAAATAATTGTAGACTGAGAAAACTTTCTAGCTGTTTGAAGGATCTATTTCATTACAAGGGAAAGATAAAGGCAGGGCCCAAAGTCACAATAACCATGATAGAAAATGCTCTTTATTGAAATAAACATTTAAAAAATGTTCTCCTTGCCTTGGCTTTTGACGGGGTCTAATACATGCCAACCACTGGCAATGCCCTGTACTGAGGAAAATAAGCGAGACACACAGTCTTTGCCATCAAGGACTTCAGTGGCAAGTGGAAAAGAAAGGCATGAAAACAACCGCTTCTCTCCTCATAAACCGAAAACCAAACCCACTGCCTTCCAGTCCATGCTGACTCATAGCGACCCCTGCAGATTTCTAAGACTGTTGACAGGCATAGACAGCCCAGTCTTTCTCACACAGGGCTGCTGGTGGTTTTGAACTTCTGATCCCATGCATCCCATGCATCACCACCAGGGCGCATCACAAGTACTCTGAAAAATGATCTACACTGTCGTGGGAGCACTCAGGAGCAGTATTGACCTAGCTTGGCCTTGGGTGTGGGGGAGTGGCAGGGAATGAAGAAGGGGGGAATTGAGGGGAGGCTTCCTAGAGTTCATTCCTGATGGGTATTGGGGTAGTTTAAAATACATCCCCAGATTTTGTTATTGTTTTGTAGCCTTCCTTCAAGAAGTGAAGTTTATTTAATACTCCTCCCCTGGAGAATGGAGTGATTTTCTCTTCTCACTGCCATTGAGTTGATTCAGACGCTTAGCTACCGTTCAGGACAGGATACAACTGCCCCCTAAGAGTTTCCCAGACTCTATATACGAAGAGAAAGTCTCATCTTTCTCTATGGATCAGCTGGGGGGTTCAAACCACTAACATTGAGGTTAGTAGCCCCACTTGTAGCCCACTACTCCACCAGGGTGGGCTAAACTTAGTGACTCATTTCTAACACAACAAAAATGCAGAAGCGATGATGTACAAATTTTGTAGCCACAAAAGTAACTGTGGCTTCCTGTTCATGATCTCTTGGATCACTTCCGGAGAGTCAGTGGCCAAGGGCACGACACTCAAACAGCACGATGAAGACGTTCACATATCGTGAGGAACTGAGGCCCACTCCATAGTCTACCAACAATGGAGACCTTCTGCCAAAGCTCTATGAGCAAGTCACCAAGTTCACAAGTGACTACAGTCCAGACTGATGTCTTGACTACAGCCCCGTGAGAACTTGAGCCAGATGCGTCAAACTAGGCCACTGCCGAACTCATGCCTCACAGAAACCGGTAGGCAATTGATGCCGTTGTTCCATGCTGTCAGGTTGGACTTGTCTCACAGTGGCCCTGTCTATGTGCAGCAGAATGAAATACCTCCCAGCCTTGCATCATCCTCACAGTTGTTTGAACCCATTGTTGCAACCACTTTGTCAGTCCGTTTCATCGACAGCCTTTCTTCTTGCCCCCTGCTGTCCCTCGGCTTTACGAAGCTTGTCCTCCAGGGACTGGTCTCTCCTGACAGCATGTCCCAAGTATGTAGGATGAAAGGCTGGCCAGAGGCACTCTGGCTCCATGGACTTTGTCCAAAACAGATTTGGCCTGGCCCTTTCAATATTCTTCACCAGCCCCAGAATTCCAATGCATCAACTTTTCTTCACTCTACCTGATTCACTTTCCCATGGTCACATACATTTGAGGTGATGGGAAATCACAGGGCTTGGGTCAGGCACATCTTAGTCCTCAAAGTAACATCCGTGCTTTTCAAACTTTCAGGAGGATGTGTGCAGCAGATTTACCTAGTGCAATGCATCCTTTGATCTCTTGGCTGCTGCTTCCATGAGCATTGATTGTGGATCCAAGCATGATGAAATCCTTGACGACAATTTTGATCTTGTCTCTATTTATCATGTTACCCACTGGTCCAGTTGCAAGGATTTGGGTTTTCTTTATGTTGAGTCGTGGGACATACTGAAGGCTCCATCCTTAATCATCATCACCAAGTACTTCAAGTCATCCTCACTTTCAGCAAGCAAAATGGTGTCATCTGCATATCACAAGTTGTTGACAAGCCTTCCTCCAATCCTGATACTGTATTCTTCTTCATTGAGTCCAGTTTCTCTGATGATTTGTTCAGTGAGACAACTGAGTATGTGTTGCTAAAAGCTTCTAGACTGAATTGTTAAAAAGATATTTTATGCAAATAAAGCATCAAGAAAATGAGCTTCTGACGTTTGAGAACTTTGTCACTAAGCAAAAGATGACTCCTATGGATTTGGGGACCTGGAAACCGCTGCTCTGCAGACAAGACCAGACCTGTAAGTTGGAAGTGGACAGTGGGTGCAATGTTAGTAAAAAGTGGAAAATATTAAGTGAAAGCTTTAGGGCCCTTGAGGAAACTTCAGAAGCATGGTGACTTTAGAGAAAGGCTCTTTTGAGACACGTATTGGAGAGAAAATTCCTTAGGAAACAGAAAGAAGATCCTTATTTATGTGAGGTGGTGTCAGAGAGTTTGTGGAAAATCGACGTTGAAAGATAATGGAATTTCCCCACAAACTTTCTGAAGCCCCTGGGTATAGTGGCACACAGCTAACAACACTGCTGCACGCAGGAATACGTCAAGTAGACACGATGCCGGACGAACTGGGCACTCTGGCCAATAGATGTTTCCAGGCAGAGTGTTGAAGCTGTATGCTGGTTTCTTCTGGCAGTTTGTATTAAGACCGGAGGAGAGAGACTTAAGCCAAATAAGGAATGTTAAACGAAAGGGAGCCAGGAATTGCTGATTTTGAAAAATCCCAAACACTCCAATGCTACGGTGATTTTAAAAGGAACACGTCTTCCAGGCAAAGGTTACAGCCAGGGTTTATCCAGAAAAACATGATCTGAAGGTAAACCTCAGGTTTGAGACTTCAGAAAGATGTCAGCTGTTGCTTCAGAGCACCGTTCAGACAATAAAGCTTCTAAGAAGTTTAAGGTGGGTGCCCGTCATGTGCCTCAGCAGGAGCCCAAAGTAGATTGGTTGGTGTGGCCTTTGTCCAATGGAGCAAAGCACACTAAGGCTTATAGAAGATCTACGAAAGCATCGTTAGAGAATCGTATCAGCATAAATACCGCCGGCTTGTATTGAAGAGGGGCACAATAATACAAAATGAAGGGAATCGTTTGGAACCCAGAGTTCTACTGGAAGGAAGCAGGCTCCAGAAACGACGCAGCTGAAGACAGGGCTGTCTGGGAAGGGAGCGGAAGAAAGACGCCCATGGCAGAACAAGGAGCAGCAGCGACAAGCCGGCAGCTGTGGAGAGTCGCCGGCGGATTGTGCTAGGTAAAATGCCATGACACCAACGGGGGCTGGAGCACATTTTTGAACCGGGCAAACCTGGCGCTGGCTAGGCAAAAGCATAAGGGACCTAAGGGCCAAGGTCCTGGGAGTCACACTGAATTGTAATTGCAATTGTGCTATTTCTTGAATGTCCATAGTGAATTGCGATCCGTCCGCGTCCTTGTAGATAACGTAAATTTAATGTAGGACACAAATTCATTTAATCTGAGACTGTGCCTCCCCACCACGCCCCTGCCCTGCCCCTCAGTTGACAGTGTTCCACATCCAGGATTGTAAAGGGACGCGGCTGGGAAAGGGGGCAGTTCATGTAAAGGTGCCTTGGTGGAGTAGTGGGTTACCCAGAAGGTGAGCAGTTCAAACAAGCCAGCCGCTCTGTGGGAGCAAGATGAAACTCCCACCAAGAGTTAGCATCTCAGAAGCCCAATGGGGGCAATTCTACTCCCTCCTATAGGGTTGCAGTGGACTGGACTTGACTTGCCAGGCAGTGAGTGAGTGCCAAGCTGCTGAGGTCTGAAAACTGCATGGAAGAGGTTTGTACCAACAAAGAAACGTGATATAGAGTGAAGAAGAAACCCAGCAAAGCGCGGGCTTCTGGCCTTGTTCGCCAAAATGAACACTCGCCAGGAAGAGAAGAATTGTTGATGTTTCTAAGCCTCTCCAGGAGGTGGGTTAAAAAACAGACTTGGGAAGAGTTATCTGGAAAAAATAAATCAGAAACTACCACACGGAAAGCAATTAGATAGGAATGTAATTCCACCCCGCCCCCTTAGTCTAGTTTTATAAATAGGAGGCCCAAGCAATACTTCATCTTTTTGAACAATGTGCCTGTGAATGCACGTACACTGGAGGGCATCCAAATGCTCTGTGTCAGAGAATCAGATCCATCGTCCTCAGAGCTCCACACTTGGAGTCCGGCAGAGCCATGACGGAATTTGGTGCGATGGGAGCTGGAAGCATGCCATTGCACAGGCTTACTCTGGTTTTGAGCACATTAATTTAGTCTTGGCAACTAACCAAGCTGAACAGTGGTTACATTTACATTTGGGGAAGTCTGGAGACTGATTTTAGCCAGAGCCAAAACTTACCGTTGAAAAGGAAAAAAAAATTAAAACACATTTAACAATATCAGAGTGACTTTCAAAGAACACATGATAGGAGTTTAGTACCTATAAAGGTTGACCCAGCCATCATGTTGGCTTTGGGTTTAATTCCTCCTTGAAGTAACTAAATTCCCAGGGCAGTGCAAGAGGAACTTGCTTTGCTTACTGCTTGATGTTGGGAAGATGCCCACATCTTGAAAGAGAACAGAGAGTTGCTGGTGCTTTGTGTTGCTGTTGTTGTTGTTGTTGTTGTTGTTGTTGTTAGATGCCATTGAGTCCGTTCCAGCTCAGAGTGACCCAGACAGAACCCAGTGCTGCCTGGTCCTGCCCCACCCCTACGCGTCACTGGGTCAATCCATTTCATGGATGGTCTTCCTCGTTTTCCTGACCCTCTATTTTGCCAGGCATGATGTCCCTCTCCAGGGTCCGGTTTCTCCTGATAACATGAAATGAAGTCTCGCTATCCTTGCTTCTTAAGGATACTCTGTTGTACTTCTTTTAAGACAGGTTTGTTCCTTAATTTGTCTGTCAGTCCATAGCACATTCAAATATTCCTCACGAACACCATCATTCAAATGCACCAGTTTGCCATCTGTCTTCTTTATTCAGGCAGCTGAAGATACCGTGATTTGGGTCCTTAGTCCTCAAAGGGCCACCTTTGCTTTTTAACGCATTAAAGAGGTTGGGGGGGGGGCAGATTCTCTCATTGCACGACATTGTTAACACTAGTGCGTTCATTATTTTAATATCTGAGTATATTTCTGTTTGCTTGCAAGGACTGTTTCTAAGATAAGACTGATGGGCTGAAAGAAGGCTAAAAGGGACCTGAGTAAATAAACCATAACCAACATTCTTAAGCTACGTGATGTCAACGTCATGGCAAGACGCCTTTGACTTTCCACTCTACCAATCCAACCCCTTGCATCAGGGTGTCACACGTGTGGCTACCTTAAGGTCTCCAGACTCAAGTCAATTGCTTGCCCTTCCTCCGCAATTTCATATGCCCACCTGTGACGAATGGCTCATGTGTCTGTCTACCAGGCTTCTTCACTTCATTCTCTTGCTCAATCACACATGTCTTGAGCACCCACGAGAAGCCTAACCCTTCTGCAAGTGTCTCCTGTGTCTTACTCATCTTTCCCCTTCTCGATCCCCAGTCAGTGGGTAGCAGATAGGAGGGACAGGAGGGGTTGCGCTGTCCAAGATGGAACAGCCCTTGAAAGGATGGTAGGATTGGCCTCAGTGATTTTTATTACACGTCGAGACAAACTGGTGTTCACAACAGATTATAGTTCTGAAATTATATACTTTCAAGTAAGTAGGACTATCTAGTTAGCATACTTTTTTTAAACTAAGCATTCTATTTGGGGAAAGGTAGTAAATAAAATTAGAACAGATTGAAATATTTTCACTTGCACTCTTAGGGATCGTCAGAGAAAGGAGGTGACATTTGAACTGAATGACAGTATTTCTTGGGATGACACGAAGCAACACCCTCTGGCAAATCTAAATATCAGATATGTGCAAAACATAACGATGGAATAGCCACTCGCTTTTCAAAAGAAGGCAGAAGTATTCATCTCATGAGACATGGGGCTCCTAACCGCAAGGTCAGCAATTCCAAACCACCAGCTGATGCAAGGGAGAAAAAGGAGGCTGTCTACCCCCCTACTCCCATAAAGAGTTACAGTTTAAGAAACCCAAAGGGGCAGTTCTATGGGGTTGCGACGAATCCGTGGTACTTCCAGTCCGAGTCTGACAGTCCGTGGTTCTTCCAAGATTCTTCACCAACAGAATGCATCAGTTCTCCAGTTTTCCATATTTATTGCCCAACTTTCACATGCACGTGGGGAGACTGAAAACTCCATGGCTGGTGGTAAGTGCACCTTAGTCTTCAAACGGACTCCTTTGCTCTGTCACACTTTAAGGGCTCTTGGGAAGCTGGTTTGTCCAATGCTCATTTGTTTCCATAAACTTTGCTTGTGGCAGCAAGTAAAATTAAATCCTTGGCAACGTCAATCGATACTCTTTATCGCGATGTTGTCTCTTGGTCCTGTTGTGTCCAGTGTTTTCACACTGAGTTGTAATTCACAGCGAAGGCTGAAGTCTTTGGTCTTTATCAGTAAGTGCTTCAAATCCATTTCTAGCAAGTAATGTCATATACATATCGAAAGGTGGTAATGAGTCTTCCTCCAAGATTCTTCCTCATTTACTCCAGCTTTTCAGATGATTTGTTCAGGAGAGAGACTGAATAAGTATGGCGAGAGGATATAACCGACTCACACCTTTCCTGAGTCAAAGCTGCGAGAGCACCTTGTTCTATTTGAACAACTGATTCTTGTTCTGGGTCCAGGTTTGGAAGAATTCCCATTCTTCACAATGCTATCCATCACTTGTTATGACCCACTTCTTTCTGGTAGTCTCTGTTTTGAGCCAAGGTCCTGTGACATGAGCACTGATCACCCTTGTTCGGTGTCCTCTCCTGAGTCACTAAGGCCTGGGATAGCTCTTGTTACGGCTTCCATGTCGTTTTTTAATCTCTTCCAGTGTTTCTGGGTTCATGCGTGGTATATCCCACATTCTAATTATGAACAGGTGTTTTCTGTTGTTTCTTCTCACTGTGAGTTGTGCCTTAGTGGTGAATGAAGGTCCCAAACGTTGTGCTGAGTTCATGTCAATAAAGTCAACTCGGTTTTGAGGCGGCAAATCTTCCCCACTCATAGCATGAAGGCCCTCCAATCTGAGGGGCTCATCTTTCCACTGCTATTCATAAAGTTTTTAGTGGAGAATCCCTCAGAAGTGGGCTGCCTACTCCTTCTTCCTAGTCTGTTCTGAAATCTAGAAAGTCAGCCGAAACCTGTTCGCCCTGGTGACCCTGCTGGTCCAGGCAATATTGCTAGCATAGCATGCAAACCACCACAATGGGGCAAACTGACAGAGGAGTGGGGCCACTATCAGATACCCGATATCGGTATCAGAAAGCATTTACATGAGCCTAAAAATTATACTGCTGTTGGCATGAAGGAGCCCTAGTTGTGCACTGGTGAAGTGACTGGCTGTGAACTTCAAGGTTGGAGGTTTGACCTGCCCCCTTCCCTTGGATATCTAGTCCCTTAAAGATCACAGCTTAGGACGCACTCTGAGACAATTTCCTCTGTCCCTTAGGGTTGATGCCAGAGCAGATGTTGCACTACACCAAAACAACACACATGCTTTAACCAGAATGAATAGAATAATTTTTTAAAAGTCACTTCCTTGGAAACAGATGCACACAGAGCATAAGACTTACAGGCCCGTGTTTGTAAGTCACTTTCAGTCCTGTGCTGCTTGGAGGCTGCTTCACTCGAAACCTGTAAAGACGAGAACAGCTTCATGCCATCACGAAAAACAACAGCGGGGAACGAACCGAGATGCTGGAAAATCAGCAAGGGGTTAGGTTTGCTACAGAGGAGAAGGGATCACTCGCATTAGAAATAGCCTATGATACAATTGGGAGATTCCCGGGCCCATTTCACAGCTGTTTTTTATGGGCGTCAAACTGACTCTAGCCTGAATCTCAAGCTCTTGTTACTACTGGCTGCCAAGGAGGCACTTAGGCCTCCACAGTGTTTTAAGGGTTTGGATGGTGTGTGCATTTCAGCCTAGCAGTCAGCAGAAACACAAATGCTGGCTGCCAGATCATGAAGTCAAAGAATAAAGGCTCCTTTGGAAAGCAGTGGAGCATGGGAGCCAGTCTTGCTCTGTCTTGGTATGGGGCTTGCATGTCTGCGGAGAGGAGAAACAGGACGGACTCGGAAAATACTGGAGAATTTGCAAAGCTCTGCACTCACACATGGTGCCCATAGTCTCTCTTTCCTGTGGTTTGTGGGTTCTGCCTGAAGGTTAGAGACCCGGAGCAAATTAAAATGCCAAGGAAAACCTACCTCTACTCTGAACCTCAACCCTGCTCCCTCTATCACCAACTTTGCTTTCTGTCCTGTTGTGGCTGAATTTAATTGTAGGGACCTTAAAAGTCTTTTCTTTCTTCGATTGCATAATCTCTGTGTTTCATTTACATTCGCATGTAGAAGGAAGCTCGGGAGGTGTTGCAATATCGATGTAAGCATGGTTTTCTGAGGACTGTCTTTGAATCAGGTGCTCTGAGCATCAGCTCTGGGCACCTTTTCTATGAAGCCTCGCCATGGCCAATGAGGAGGGGACTGGATCCGATCGGTCCTCTGAATCTCCAGTCGCGATCACGGAGGTATACCTTTCGCTCAGCTGAGGTATACCATGAACCCGGTGAGGGGTGAGATCTCTGAAAGCGCACTCCTGGGTAGACAGGATCTGCACGGCTGGTGTAGGGCTGACTCTATTTTCCCACCCACTTTGTTGCCTCCATCTCAAAACACACCCACCTCTGTCTGGGCCCAAGCCCTTCATCCGGTCTGATGCTGAGGAAGCAAACATTCCCCCTGAGACTGAGGACTTACATCAACTATGGGCAGTGATCTTCTAAGGTGGAGGCAACCCTAGTTTTGCCACATTCAATTTTCAACTCTGAATCTAGAGTCAGAATCTTGAAGAACCTGCCACTTAGAGTGAGCATAATTCTGCAGCTGAAAGAAACTTTTCTGTCATTTCTATGACAAAACCAAGACCAGATGCCACATTCAGCTTTGGTTGAATTCAAAATAAAGGACACAGTGAGGTGTTGTAATTGGGAGGGTGCTTCTGAGCACTATCTAGCCCTGCTCTGGCCTCTGTAAGTCTTTAAGTCACATTATTCATTTTTCCCTTTATAAGAGCCTCTTGTTTCTGAAAGTTCTAAGTTTTATTGATGGGAAAGTAGAAATTGGAGACTATTCGTCTACATTTCAATGGAGAGTAGAGACGGTGTGCCTGGTGTTTGTGATTACTTCTAAGTCGGCTTTGCGTAGCTACACTGGCCTTAAAAGCTCCCCTTCCATTACAGTGGTGTGGTGGTTATGCACTTGCCTGTTAACCCAAAGGCTGGTAGCTCTCAGACCCAGCAACTGCTCTGCAGGAGAAAGAAGTGCAGATCTTATTCCCTGAAGATTACAGTTTTAGGGACCCCGCCAGGCAGTTCTCCTCTGCCTCATGGGATCCTATGCATCGGAATCGATTTGATGGCAAAGATTTTTGCTCTTTGTTTAAATGTAATCCATAGCCCTTTTGAGGTCAGAAAGTGCAAGCAAACGCCAGCTAGCACTCCTAGAGTTGGTGCTAGATGGACGAAACAGACTCTCGAACATGTGCTTTAGTCTGCACAACGCTTGTACAGCTGCCTCTTCACTTGTACAGTTTGTCTCTACCACAGCATGACCGATGACTAGTGGGCAGCAAAGAAGGAACGATCACATAGCTGGAACTTGGTAACTACTCATTTGTTAAAGGCTGAATGAACAAATTAGTGAGTTTGATTGAATGAGGTGAAGATGTAAGATTCAAGAGGTGATTTCAGTTCGGTGAGCATTTCACTGGTGTAGGTAGCGAAAATCAAGTCACAAAGCGTAGGGGAAGGTAGCTTTGGGGCTCTCAGCCTCACCTGCAGAAGTCCACTCCAATGTTCTTGAGCTTGACAGTGGTTACATAAGTGTGTCCTTCTCTAAGAATCCCAAAGTTGACTGATGATGGGAGGAGGTGGAACCCGATGGGGGCTAAGTTTGGATTATTGATGGCAGCACGCGCAATGGAAGATGTGTTCACCTTTCCGCCGACGGAATCATTCACCTGCAAATCAAGGAGCATTTACTCAAATGAAGAAGAATGATAAAATAAGAAAAAGTTCCTGTCATCAGAGAAAAATAACACTTGTGCCGAGGGGACGAACATAGATGGTCTCATAATCTTTGTTTAAAAGGTTTTCAGATTTTAAAAATGCTTCTAAGCTGAGCATAAGGTCCTCAGTGGCTTCTTCCGCCAAAGTGGGGAGCAGAGTCCTCCTGTATTGTCTGTTCGTAGTCTGGAAGCTCCGCCGAAACATGTTCCCTTGGGGGGACCCTGCTGGCATCGGAAATACCAGTGACATAGCCTCCGGAATCAGAGCCACGGGTCGCTCTGAGTTCGAGCTGACTCAAGGGCACCTAAGAAGAGCAACAACAACATCTTGGTAAAGGAGCTCTGGTGGCACAGAGGGTTAAATGTTGGGATGTCAAACAACAAGTTGGCCGTTCAAACCCAGCAGCGACTTTGTGGGAGAAATAGGAGGCTACCTGCTCTTGTCGAGACTGACAGTCTCGGGAACCTGCCAGGGCAGTTGGCCTCTGTCTTACAGGGTTACTATGAGTTGCAATTGATGGCAGTGGCTCATGTTTGTTATAATCTGTACAACAGCCTGGTAAGGAGTTGTTTTAAATGAGTGAGTTATCCAATAAACAAGTAAAATCCATGTTTATTTTGCTTACTGGATATGCCATCTCTGTCAGAAATGACAAATTTGAAAAGGCTTAGGTTTTGTAGGAAGATGCTGATGGATTGGAAGACAGATGCCAGCCATATCTAAGAGCAGAATCTCTTAGATTGGTTAAAAAAAAAAAGAGTGAAAAAAGAGGAGCTGATACCGACGGCGCAAATAGAAAGTGAACATTTAGAAAATGATGATGGCAACATATATACAAATATGCTTGATGCAATTGATGTATGGATTGTTATCAGAGCTATAAGAGCCCCCAATAAAATGGTCTTTATAAAAGCCAATTAAACAAAACAAAAAGTGACGTCCACTAAGCCAAGTCCCACCGTTGAGTTCATTCCAACTCATATTGACCTTATCGAGGGTTTCTGAGACTGTTACACTTTATGGGAACAGAGAACTTCATTTTTCTCCCATGGAGTGGCTGCTGGCGGGGGTGGGTGGTGTGGTGGTGGTGGTTTGAACTGCTGACCTTGAAATTAGCAGCCCAATGTCTAACCCATAGCACCATGAGAACTAAAAACCAATTATTGAGTTGATTATGGCTCCCAGTGACCTGAGGTTGTAATTCCTCGTGGGAGTAGACAGCTTCAGCTCTCTCCCATAGAGCAGCTGGTGAGGTTCAACCACCCACTTTGTGGTGGCACGCCAATGCTTACCCAGCTGCACCACTAGGGCCCTCAGAGCTCCTGAAGTTGCTTACTACCGATGAGTAACGAAGCACAAGTGAACCTATGTTGACCTTGCTTCTTGGATATTCCAACGTTGCTTAAAGGACAGGGAAGCTCAGGTTCTGGGAACTGAAGGACAGGCAATTTGCTAAAGTGGTAAGTGACCGAATAAAGTTTCAAAGTCAAGTTTGCCTGACTCTAAAGTCTACAGTTTTTTTCTCTGTGCTTATTAAACTTTAGCTCTCATCAGGATACTCTAGGCTCAGGCATAAGAACAGTGGTGAGGCTGGTGCAGGACGGGGCAGTATTTCCTCCTGTTGGGCAGATGGTTGCTATGGGTCAGAATTGACCGGATGACCCCTAACAACAACAACAGGGTCCTTAGGAGAGCGAGTGACAATAGATTGCTTAACCTCATCATAGTGTTTCTTAGTCATCCGGTCTGGGCAGGGCCATGGAATTGCATTTATACTAAGTTCTCAGGTGGCAGTACAGCCCTGGCTGCTCTATGCTCTGTGATTCCTTAGATCAGCATCACTGATGTCCCCTCGAATTTGTTAGATGTGCAGAATCTGAGACCCAATCCCAGACCTACTCAACCGAATCCCACATTTTTTAGCAAGATCCCCAGAGAAGGCACATATACATTGAAGTTTGAGAAGTGCTTCTATGACATATCAGCTATATGCACTGCAAAACGTCTATGATGGCAGTGGACACTGTACCACTGAAGCATCAGAAAATAATAATTACATTTTAACTGGTGGCCTCATGGAAGGTTTCCCAACAGAGCAGAGATAGAATTTGACACTAAAAGTCTCGAAGGAAGAAGGAAATTGGTGCTTTGGGAGAAGTGAGAGAAACACAGGACGGCTGAAGGGTAGCAAGTATGGGACAAGATAGGGGTAGACACGCAAATAGGGCCCACGTCCAACAAGCCATGTAGTCACGGCAAGTCATCTGGATTTTATCCTCCGAGTCACGAGTAGGGTTGCCAGTCATCACTCTGCACTGTAGTGCCCGGTGACAAGACACTGCAAACAAAACCCTTGATTTCCAGTGTTTGCCCAGTTCTCAGGTCTAGTGAATCCTTGCACGACTGAGTTTGAGCTATAACAATCCTTTAGCAACTGCCTTTCGTGAGTCTGTCTGAACTGGATCCTGTCCACCCTTAGCTGATCTCTCCAGGACTCTACCTACGGTCTTTCTTCATGGTGAGACAGTAGGGCCAGTAATTTCCACTGGGTGGAAGTTCACGACTTCAGTCAGTCAGGATGACATAGGATGCTGACTGGCTCTGGGCATTCTGTGCCCAGGTACGGTTTACCTGTGGAAGAGGTTGTGATTTGGGCTTGCTGCTCAGCAAGTAATGAGGCAACCTCACTTTCTCTTTTCTTGCTTGCCCCATAGCATCCTGCAGCAACGACTGGGTTGGGATTTTCACAGGCATGTGGTGTTCTTGTTCTGTTAGAGAGGAAATTCAAATTATGTCACATGGGTGCTTCACTCTGAGATATTTAGACAACATCATAAGAACATAAACCGACTTGGAAGGGTTTTTTGGTTTTGTTTTGTTATGGTTTGCTTTCTAAAGAGCCTACTGAAAGCAACAAAGGCTTGCATTAATTCAGATTTTAGGTATTTATATTTTATAAGAGAATTGTACACATTACTTAATATTGATTTTCATAGAAACCCTAATGTGATGGTCAGGGCATACGACATGAGCCTAACCTTCTTCTAAATAAATGGGAAAAACGAGACGAAGAAGGTAAATGACTTTCAACGATGAACTGAACCTCAGACCAGGTTTGCAGGGTTCGTTTCATTCAGTCAACAAGGAACAACGCAACAAAGCGTTAACTTTTTTACAAAAATGAGTTCAAAATCTTAAGAATTTCTTTGCCTTAGTATATGTATGTATATTATTTGAAAATGGATGTTCTGGTAACAGATAAATAAAACCTAGCCATTAAGTCCTGAGATCACCAAATTCGGGAACTTTTTCTTTTCTTCAAATACATGAACTGCTGTTGTGGATACATTGCTCCAAATGTCCAGGAAGTTAAAATAGGAATTGTGTTTTAGATAATTACATTTAAATATCTTTTTTTTTAAAACCCCATTCAAATTATCAAGAGAGGAGAGAACAGGAGACCTTTAAATGGGCCTCCATTAGCACCTTATCTGAGTTTATGAATGTCGAGTTTCACTTCATTCTCACCTCTCTGAGCTCCAGGGTGACGAAGAGATGACTGTGCTTGGCACACTCCCCATCCTCCCCCTCCCCCTCCTATCATACACACGTCTGGTACTAGAGCATCCCTGATCCCGACCATCAGGATGGTATATAGCCCAAGCCAAACTAAAGATGACAGGGATGACTCCCTCTTGCCTAATGCGTTTATGGATCTGGATGAATTGGAATCCTGACCCCCTATGGTTATAGCCTTTGCCAAATGGAAATACTGGCCCTTTGTCGAAAATGATAAAACCAAGCAGGGACAAGAAAGGTTAGATTGCGACAGAGGTGGGAGCGATTGTAGAGAGATACACATAGCAATGGAGGCGGGAGCGATTGTAGAGAGATACACATAGCAATGGAGGTGGGAGCGATTGTAGAGAGATACACATAGCAATGGAGGCGGGAGCGATTGTAGAGAGATACACATAGCAATGGAGGCGGGAGCGATTGT